GCAACCTTTTCTGTGCAAAATCATGGATTCAGTAATTACATAATATTTTTGAGTGTTCATTCAAAATAAGAGTTCTTTGTTAATGGTTTACTAATGAAGCATGAAGAAGGCTTTTTTTGCTTCCAGGTACATTGAATACAGTATCCTATGTTTTTTTTGTTTTTAATTTGGTTTTTATTTCTGTAGATGTTCTAAATTAGTCTTTTTTTTTTTTTTTCTTTCTGAAGATCACACAGTTTTTCAGGATTTAATATCCAGCTGCAGCTTATGCTCAGGTCTTACAGTTAGGAGGGAGCTTCTTCAGTGACATTCTAGAATGTAAATACGTCAGGCTTAGTGGTGAAATGAAACCTTTCCTTTCTAAGTGAAACTTTAATGCCATGTTACTTATCTGGGTTATATTGACCATAGTGGTGTTTTGACATTAGTAACACAGACTTTGGAAATAACTACTTCTAACATTAACCAAGCTTGTGGCAAAAAAAAAAAATGGTGGTGGTGGTGTTTTTGGTTTGTTTTTTTGGTTTGTTTTTTTTTGTTGTTGTTGGTTTTGTGTTTGGTTTTTTGTTGTTGGGTTTGGGGTTGGGGGGGGGGTTGGTTCCAGTTGTATTGTTTAGTTCCAGAACTTAGTAACTTAGTAGAACCATGTTCTTCAATGTGCTGGGAACAAAGCTATTTTAAGAAAAGTAGAGTTATGGCTTGATACAAATGATAAATTTGTATATGATGCTTTTTGTCCCTTAATCACTTTCTTCAGAGTGCTTAAAATAGCACATCTTTCTTGGATATATTTCTTGTTTTCTCTTTTGAGAGAACTGCTGATGTGTCCCAGTTATGACTAAACTTTCGTGTAGTGCTTTTGATAATGTTTCCCACTTCACGGATGGGTTTTTGAGGCACTGAGATTTGAAGGCTCTAGCAAATCTTCAGCAGGTTTGATACTTGAATGGGGTGTGCTTTGTCTTAAATCATTCTGGGTCATCCTTCTCCAGATTTAGCCAAAATACAGACTTTAGAGTGGAGGTAGCAGGGACTAGATAGCTGTGTTGAATATGGAATGTGGGAACTATTCTAGTATTTACCTAGTGTTGTTAAGACTTCAGAGTCCCAGGAAGCTAAAGAACAGGTTACCTGTCCTATCTGATTGTGTGCTTGTAGGCTAAATAGGCATTGGATGTGGGATTTAAGATGACAGGACTGCATAAAAGGTAACTGAAATATTGCTGTCTGTTGACATGGTTACACTTGTGTCAAAAAGACTTTTTCTGATGTTTTGAAAATGCAGCTTATAAAGTACAGATCTAGAGTTTGCTATGCAGTCACCTGTGCTTATATTAGCTAGCATGGGATGTCTGAAAAATACAGAGAATAGTAATTCTCTGTAATTTTCTCCCATAGCGGAGGGATGGTGGATGCTGTGCTTCAGAGATACATGGAAACGTACTAATTGGAAGGCCGTAACAGAAAGAATAGTTATTTCCCATGGCAATAGCAAGAATTGATCTGCCCCTGCCAAAAACTGGGGGTAAAGCAACTACCTACCTGAACTTTACATAGTTCTTTTCCCCTTTTCCATGCCTGTCTCTACTTCTTCACCAAGACAAAATGTAGTAGCTTACATATAATGCTGTTCTGTTCTCTCGTGTATGTAAAACTGTTTTTTTTCATATGTATAGTAAATATACAAAATATTGAAAAGAACATGGTGGGAGAGAAGGAAGAAAACCAGACAGGAATTGCTCTAAGTTGTTAGATATTTTAAACTTTCTCAGACTCCAGTCCTCAAAAGTGACCCCAAATATGTAATAATTTCTTCCTTATTTAATCATGCAAGAACTTTTTACAATGTGGAGGTAAAGTCGTTTCTAGTCTGCAGCTGGTCCTAATGGAACACTGTGCAAAGTTTACAGACATGTGAAGTAGCATCATTAAATGATAAACAAGTCATTTTGCGGAATACTGAGATGATAAGGAGAGCTAGGAACTGAGTGGAAAAGGTCTTTGTGGTAGGTATGGCATTTGGGTTTTTTTTGTTTATTATTTTAAATATATAATTATGCATTCTGTTTGCAATTTTACCAACTGTAAGCATTTAAGAAGGTACAAGTAAAATATTCCTTAACAGAGGACCAGGGTGTCTAGAATTTGTGTCAGCTACTTACTGTGCTAATTTCTGTACACGTGCTTCTGAGTTCATTGCAGCATTTAAATAACCAGTTGCGCTCTGAAAAAAGTCTTGTACAGAAATTAATATAATAATTTTAACCTTAAAATCTTAAGGCCATAGTGAAGGTCAGTTAACTTAATTGATAATGCTACAGAGCAGCTGAAAGGTAATTGTTGCTCCAGAATTTTGGGAGCATTGCATCTTCTGTAATTATGCATAATAGTAACTGTAGTCATTCAAAATGAACTGCTGACTTGTTTAAGTTTCTTAATAGTGTGGTGAACCTTGCCAGCTGCTGTACTTGTACTGTTGCCTGTCCTTCTGCTCGCTATCAGTAGTTACTAACTTTGGTAAGTAGTTCTGAGATCTTTTATATGTTGCTTCTTTTTAGAGTTCTACAGTGTTCTTACTCATATGACAATGTGTCTAAACCTGGGGGACAGCAGCAGTTTGCTTTGAAGGATTTGACTAATAGAGTTCAAACTAACAGCACCTTAACTGGTAACACAGATTCAGTGTAGGGCAAATTGGGAATCACTTGGTGAATCTAGTACTTGCCAACCTATTGTATGCACAAATTAAACAGTAGCTGAGAAATTACCTGAGTAATTTTCTTCTCCCACAGCCTTCTCCCTCTCCCCCCTTTTTTTGTTTGCCAATTTTTACATTATTCACCATTGTGAAGCTACTTCTTGTTTAGGAAATCTGGGGCTGGGATGGGTCTTGGGCTGAAAATTCAAACTGTATGAGTTGTTCTCATTTGAAAGAGTGTCCAAGCACAGATAAGTATCAAGTAATTATAGTGTATTACTAGATATGGTTATATACACGCCAGAGAGCTTGTTTGCCACCCATGTGCTGCTGCTAATTATCTGACCAATACCTTTTATGTTTAATGTTCCAGGATGATTGTGGTGGACTCTTTATCATAAATACAAGTCTGGGAGCAGAGGGTAACTGGAGAATTGAAGGCAAAGAATCTGCCAGGTTGTTTCACAGATGTTTTACTGAAGAACTTAGGATAAACTGAGTTTCCTCATAGAAGAGGAAACTAATGTCTGACTTAGACTCCAGCTTGATGAACTAGTCTGCCTGGATTCAGATCTTCAGACTGGCTGAAAGTGGGCCATGAATAATACTAATGGGCAAAGCTTGACATGTTGAATTGCAAATAAGTATTAGGGCTACCCGGAATAATGAAGGGTTGCTTGAAATCTTGACTGGTAGCTCCAAAGATAAGCTTGTCTAAATTCATGTTTCTGGCCAATTTTTTTTTCTTTCCTGTGCCTGCAGTGATGTTTGAGTAGTGAGCTGTGGTTTCCAGTGAAAGCTTGCAGCCTCAATATGTATGGGTTTTTTTTATAGATAAGGAAGCAATGGCCTGAGAGCCATATCTGAAATCTCTGTTCTGGTTACATGGTCTGCTTAGTAGGCTGGGTTCACCCTGCTTCCATCCTGTATTTTGTGGGTTTGGACGATTTGAGGATGACTTCTGTGTAACCCATGCTGTTGAAATAGCCAAATGCTGACCAGTCTGGCAAAAACTCTGGGAGTTGCTTTCTATTTGTGAAAGGGGAGGATGTATTTCTTAGGCATGTATGTGGCCCTGTATGAAGTTGCATATTGTTCCTGTTGCAACAATCTGCATGTATTTCAGTAGAATGGCATCTGGCCTAAATGTTGCTGAAGCTGTACCATGCCAAGGTTATTTGCCATCATTATTTCTTAATTTTTCCATTTGTGGCTTATAAATTGAGGTAAAAGACAGAAGAAGGTGGGAATGTTATCATAAATGAGACTGTCCTGATCTGTTGATGTTGTTTAATGTCTGTCATGACCAAATAAATGCTTTATTCTTTATACAGCTTGTCCATGCAGCCTCTTCTTAACATGAGTGCCTTCTATGTGAATCAAGTTTCTTTAGAAGATAATCTGAGGCTCTGAGTTTGACCAGGGAGTTTGTTGATCACAGGAGGGTTTAAACAGGTTGTCTTGCTTCTTACTCTCTGCTTTTAGAATGAAACACAAGAGTATTTGAGCATACATAGCTACTGTGGGATTCATATGGAAATATATTAAAATATATTGTGTTCCTGCCTGATGATGAGCAGCAAATCTGGCAAGTTCCTATTAAGTACTACTAATGAAGTGTCAGTGATAATTACTAGGGTTTTTTTCTGAAGGCCTGCTATTCTGGGAGAAGGAGAGAGATGACCTTCTCTAACAGCCCTGTAATTCACTGCTGCAAGAATAGTGTAACTCTTGGTTTAAGAAATTCTTCCATTCTCTGTCTGAACATACTATGTGTTCCTAGTTTTGGGAAAGAAAACTTCAGGGGGTGGGGAGTGGAGGAAGGGGACACAAACCCAGATTCCAGAAATGCTACTACAGGTAATGGTATCTCAGTGCTTGGCTTCAGGAGTGGGTGAAGTCATTGAGCTTCCCCAGTGGGGAGCTAGCTGCTGGTGGAAACTTTGCATGTTTGGTTTTTGGGTGTGTGTTTTGTTGTGTTGTTCAGGTGTTGGGGGTTTGGTTTGGTTTTGTTTTTTTAGTGAAATCATGGGTGATTTACCACTTCCACAGGGTTTGCTATTAATTAAATGCTGACACTTGTGATCTCGTGACATTCAGTTTGTAGAGATGGAAATACTTTAAAAATCAGAAGTGTTACATAAGCTGGGGATTTCTGGAGCTAATGTGTTCTATGGCACCTCTAGTATGCTTAAATGAAGCAGTGCTAAGGGTGTTAAATATGCTGTCCACTTTTGTCCTATAAACTGTCTCTTAAATATTGGCTTATATTCAAATTGCTTTACTTTTTTGTTGTTTTCAGGCAAAATTTGAGGGGTGAGCAGTAGGTACCAGACTCGATGAGTTTCCATCGAAATGTCGGAAAAGTCAGGCCAGAGTACAAAAGCAAAGGATGGAAAAACGAAGTATGCAACGCTCAGTCTGTTTAACACTTACAAGGGAAAGTCACTGGAAACTCAGAAAACCACAGGTGAGTAATCTGACTTCAGTTTTGCGTTGTTTCGGTTTCATCATTACTGTAGTATTAATTAGGAGTGCAAAGTATATGAGCACTTAACCACAGCGAGACTTATTTTCTTTTTAACTGCTTGATACAACAGTTAAGTGGAAGAATTCTGGAAAGCAGTGTTGATTGCAGTGTCTGGTTAGCTGTAAACATGAGTATCAGTTCAGGCAGACAGCATTTGCAGTCTAGTAGGAAGTAGAATATAGATAAGTAAAAACTGTTCTTATAGCTGCAGTCTCTATTTGTTACCAGCATATGACATGGCATTCCCCAGCTGTGCTTTCTGCCATATTAACATTTGTGCTACTGGAGGGTTTTGATTAACAAGAAGGCAGTGCTCCCTTTCATGTCAGGTTCTTTGTCTGTTTTGCAGACTGGGTGAAACTGGCACTGACCTTTCAAGTAAGTTTAGTGTGAGCCTTTTTCACAATTAATTGAATTGAGAATCAGGAGGTAATGACACTCTGAAGGCTTAGAATTTGATTTGACATATTGCCTAACTTAGGGGGTGAAAGAGGAGATGTGTTTTAAAGGCTAAAACTGAGATGTCTGATAGAACATCTAAGGCAGTATCGTGTACGTGTTCACCTGAGTTGATTGATTCGATGGTAGGTTGAATGTCTTGCGTGTAGTGCATGGGCTTCATATTGCTTTTTCATTCTTGTGGTCTGGAGTAAATGCAATTTGTAGGAATGTTTTTGCAAGAGCAGCATCTGCCAACTGAAACTGGCAGCAAAAAAGAAATGGGCTGCACCCATGTGGATATTCCTGGACTCATCAGAATACATTAAAGTCCAAGAGGAGTGAGAGAATGATGTTTGACAACATGTTAAAGGATATTAGGATATCAGCATCACATTTTATACGAGTTCTCTAGCTTCCTGTCACTGAGCAGTGTGTATAAAGTTGGGGCAATATATCCTTTTTCATTTCTGGTATAGGCCAGCCGTAGTGATTAACTATTCAAAGAGTACACAGGTTGTCTCAGACCAAGTATTTCTAATGCTGTTTTTTTTTTAAAGTAAATTATAAAGAACTTTGAATTTCTAATTCTTAACGCTTTTAAATTTTTCTTGAAGAAACATTTTTGTTGATTTACATACCTTTGTATGAATGCTGCCTGCTAACAGCATTGTTAACTTTCACTTTCTGTTTTGGCATGCAGTTGCTGCACGCCATGGATTACAGAGTCTTGGGAAAGTTGCTATTTCAAGGAGGATGCCTCCACCAGCTAACCTCCCCAGTCTTAAAGCAGAGAACAAAGGCAATGACCCTAATGTGAACATTGTGCCTAAAGATGGCACAGGATGGGCTTCAAAACAAGAACAGCACGAAGAAGAAAAGTAAGTGACCAATGAGATGTGGGTTTTTTTCCTATGCCATTTCTCCCAAGTCTTTCTAAAGCTGGGGGTGGGCAGGGCCTGGGAAGAAATTGGCTGAACTTGACTGTCCTAAAAAAAAAAAAAAAGAAATGGAGGAAAAAGCACAGCTGTTAGTTTTCATAAGGAAGATTCTTGCTGTTAGGTCAACAGTTAACAAAATGTGTAACAAAACACACACTTAAGTTGAAAGCAGTGTGCTTGTCAATTCCATATGAGGGGTATCAGGTACCTTTAGCCACCTGATTGCGTACATTCTGATGGCTTCTTAAATGAAATACTATAGCACATTTTTGTAAGATCTTAAACTTTGCTGTAGCTTAAGGCTCCCCCAATATGTGATACAGACAGAAGTGATGGTGATGTTGATATACAGTGCTGTGTACTGTGGATAGTACAATTTCCTATGCTCAGTGCAGTTTCATCTGCTGAGTTTTTCACAGTTGTACAGCAGGTCAGGTAAAGAAGAGAGAGACTAAAACTTTTCAATATTTAGTTAGAAAGTATTTTAAAGCATTTTTTTTTTGTCGTATACGCTTAAAATGGGTATGATTCACTATAAAAGTGGGGTTTAGGTGTTTATTTTTTGACATACCAGTTCTTCTGAAAACCAGTTGCAGATAGAGGAACTGATTGCATGTCACTAGCACTTGTGAAAGCAAAAGACGACTAAAGGGTGGGGTTGCCCCCCCCCACTGTCTCTTTATTTCTCCTTGTATACTTTACTATGTTTAAATGTCAATTTTTGACATGTCTCTGAAAAGCTGTTGGACTTTAGGAGTATAGTATTGTGTTTAGCTTTTTATTTTAAGATCATGAAATTACAAATTCAAAATTTTCTGCCCGGTGTTCTGTATGGTTTTGTTTTTTTTTTTAAAAATCTTCCTGTACTTCAAGGCCACTTAACCTTTGTCTGGTTAATTCTGAGTTAAGCCTTTAGTTTATTTGACTAAAACGCCCTTTCATCTGCCTTTCCAAGTCTGCTGCTTGTGTTAAAAGTGTATTCTAGTAGTTGATGTTATGTTTAAAAATTGAATAAATGGCTATCCCTTGCCTGCAAGTAGAAGGTATTTGTATTTTCATATGCATTATTCTGACAAAGGCCTCAAAGTCCACATACAGGTAAAGCTGGGGCGGGGGGAGGGATTTGTTCCCAGGAACAGGTATGTATGCCCATGTGACAAGTAAATTCTAAGTTCAGGCCATCTAATGCATTTGCTCAAGTATTGAGACCATTATTATAACTATTGCTATATTTCTCCAACATGCTTATAAATGCTACCGTTTAGATGTAAAGTGCACTGGTATTCCTCTCACACGTGTTGTGGATAAAGGTAGCATTTTGATATCAGCTTGTTTGATATCAGTTTTATTCTTCCTTTTTTTTTTTGTGTCACTGCACTGAAGCTCACATGAGTGAAGAATTGTTTCCTATAATTCCAGAATAATTTTTCTGCTGCTTTCCCAAGTTGTTACTCTTTCTATGGGTATCCCTTTTTCCTGGATGGTGTGGCCTGTTGTATATTGGTTTGATGAATTCATATAGCACTAGCTGAGTTCTTTCTTACATCAGTACACGTATCTATAGGACAGTGTTTGGGTAACTCAAAGCCAAGCGCTTTTAGAATTTGAAACAGTGGAAGTACAAGGAATAAACTCTTTAACAGTCTTGTTTCTTGTTTCACTTTGTGTGTGACAAAGTACAGCCATGTAAATTACAACTTCCCCAATGTCTGCTTAGAAAATATGCAGCTGTAAGAAGATACAACTAAGTGGAAACTGAACAGATGAGAATTTTTTAAATTTATTTATTTATTTTCATTCTGGTAATCTGTGGAAACAAATGAAAATTGTATTCAGTTACCCTTGTGAGAAGCCAGTTTCTCCCCAGCAGTGATTTTTTTTGAGGGGTGGGGGGGGGTGCTTTTGGGTTTGGGTTTTTTTGGTGATGTTTACTTCTGTGTCAATTTTGGGACTACTGTGTAGTGGTTTGGGTTGATCACTGCAGAACCCAAATGGAACTGACTTCTCAGTGGCAGTCCTCAGAGAGTTTAGAATTACTTCAGGATCTATTTAAAGCATTTGCCAATTGTTTACTATAAGTTAACTGGCATGCTATTGCACTAGTTATGTTTGTCTTTACTTAATAAAGTCATTCTGTCTACTGGATTTGTCCTATAATTCCTGTTCAGTCAAAAATTGCTATTAATGAGCTGGAGGTCTTGACTTGTAGACAATAATGCTTTGGAGTCTTAAGTTATCTGAATATGCAGATTTTGGAAATAGCTGTACTTGAAAGAAACTAAACAATATCGCTGAATCTGTAGACTGCTGAGATGATCTTCAAGAATATGACTGGGTTTTATATTAGAGAAAATGAGTGCTTCTGTCTGCCTCTTCATTCTTAAAATAGTGAAATTGAGAGAGTGTTCTTACTAAGCTTAAGCTTCTGGACTCCAGTTCATAGCACCCATCAATTTTTTTTCATGGTGTCTTTATCTTTCCTTATTGGCTCCTTTTATTTCCTAAGTCCTAACATGTATTTGCCTTCTTTCTCTCAGTTCATGGTGGTTTTTAAGTGCTTGCCTCTAACTCCCAAGACAAGAGAACACTGTTATAAATTATTCCCTTCTGTGGTTGTCGATTGTTTGGGTTTTAATTGTTCGTACACTAGTTAAAAAGTTAAAACTCTGTTCATGCCTGACTGTATTTTCTGCCCATCCATTTTCATCCATTCCTCTCCATTTTGAGTAATCTACTCGTGAAGGAATTGGCTAATTTGTTCCAATTTTAGCCGTAACTGTAACAACTCATTTTATGTAAGAATGTGCTCTGTATATAGAAAAGTAGCTATTGGTTCTTCAGCTGCATAGCTACCTCATTTGATTCACTTGTTTGCAGTAGTAATCCTGAGGATCTTAGTCTGTGCCCACCTTATATTCACAAGTGCTTTCTCTCTAATTCCAGACAGCCAGACGTGCCGCAGACACAGCCAAAACCTGCTGTTCCTGCTCCTCCAGAAGCAGCTCCTGTTGCCAAATCATGGGCCAACACCAAACCAGGTGGACAAGATGGTAAGTGGTGTTCAGGTTGGAGGGTTCTTGACTGGCCTAGCAGGCTGTGAATGCTGCTGTGAGACCCTCAGACTCGGCAATGATTTGAATCTTCACTGGGCCAGCTGGGACTACAAATTCTGTGGAAGCAACATTCTTGGCCAGAAGGTGGCTAAAGTGAGCTCCAGCCTCATTTAGCAGCAGGTCTGACTGTCTTCTAAAGGGCTGGTATCATCACCTCTTTTGTTTTGACAGTGAAGCGGTGGTCACAGTGTAAGACCTTGAACGTGGCTGTGATAAGGAGGGAAAATTACAGTCAATAGTTATAATGCATACAATTTTGTTGTGAAAGGGATAACCATAAGCAGTTAGTGGTCATTCTTATCATAATTTTGAATCATTTTGTGCAGAATATGTGTAGTCTTGCTTCCATTTAAAAGTCTGCTACAGCAGCACTTTTCCCTTTTATTTCGTAGGTTCTTTGCTTATTTTGGTTTCAAAGTGATAGTGTTCAAGTAGGGATTTTTCTGGGAAAAGCATTAAAGGTGTGGTGGTAGTGGGTTTTTCGCTAGGGGTTTTTTGGTGGTGGTGGGTTTTGTGGACTTTGGAGTTTGCTTTTTTTTTTCAATAACTGTTGGAGTACTGTTTCCATCAGTGTGAACCTTGGGTTGAGTATTTTCATATAATCGAATAGGTTGTAAGAGACCTTTAATATCATCAAGTCCAACTTTTACCCCAGGACTGCCAAATCCACCACTAAACCATGTCACTAAAGGCCTCATCTACATGGTTTTGAACACGCCCAGGGACAGTGATTCCACCACTTCCTGAGCAGCCTGTTCCAAAGCCTGATCACCCTTTCAGTGAAGAAATTTTTCCTAATACCCAGTCTAAGCCTCCCCTGGTGCACCTTGAAGCCATTACCTGCTGTCTTATCACTTGTTACTTGGGAGAAGAGACCAACACCCACGTCGCTACTACCTCCTTTCAGACTAAGGGAGACTCAACACCCCCAGTTCTCTGAGCTGTTCCTCATAAGACTTGTACTCCAGACCGTTCACGAGCTTTGTTGCCCTTCTCTGGACCTGCTCCAGCAACTCAATATCTCTATTGGAGAGAAGGGCCCAGAACTGAACACAGGCTTTGAGATGTAGCCTCACCAGTGCCGAGTACAGGGGGATGATCACTGCCCTGGCCCTGCTGGCTGTGCTGTTGCTGATACAGGCCAGGATGCTGTTGGCCTTCTTTGCTGCCTGGGCATGAGCTGGCTAATGTTCAGTTGGTACCCCAGGTCTGTTCATTACAGATGTAAGATCAGAGCTAAATATTCAGATTTTTAAAAATTGTTTATTGAGTGAGAGCTAACATAGAATTCCTTTCCTGTGTCTCCATTATAAAAAATAAATTTGCTTTATTCCTTAAATTTGAGACTTGCAAGCTTTCTGTGGCTCTAAAATAGAGTTTTGGCTTTCAGGTTGAAGAAGTGAGCTCTCTTCTGGATAGGGATCTTAGGGCAGTAAATCTGAATTGCTTGGAGGTAACTTCTAGGTCATTATGTGGAGTTTGTTAACATCACATATCTAATGATTTTGCCTTTTTTTTTTTTCCCCTCAATAAATATTAGAAGTGAAAATTCAGAATTCTCTACTTTTTGCTTTCCTCTCTTATGTTCAGTATTTCCTTTGTTATCAAATATAGGAACTCAACGGTCATGATATGTTAGAGTTCGAGAACCTCAGGGCAGTGAGAAGAGTGTGCAGCAAGCTCACTGCCCTGGGCTTCAAGAGAGCAGACTTTGGCCTCTTCAGGAACCTGCTTAGTAAGATTCCATGGGAAACAGCCCTAGAGGGCAGGGAGGCCCACGACTGCTGGTTGATATTCAAGGATCACCTGCTACAAGCTCAGGAGTGTTGCCTCCTGACAACAGGAGTGCAGCAGGAGGGCCAGGAGACCTCCTTGGATGGATAAGGAGCTGCTGAGGAAACTTACAGGGGAAAAAAAAAGAGGCTTATAAAAGGTGGAAGCAAGGACAGGCAGCCTGGGAAGAATACAGGGATGTTGTTTGGGAAGCTAGGGACCAGGTTAGGAAAGCTAAGGCCCAGTTAGAATTAAACTTGGCTAGGGATGTGAAAGATAGCAGGAAGGGATTCTATAGGTATGTAGCAAATAAAAAACAGACTAGGGACAACGTGGGCCCTCTCCGGAAGCTATCAGGAGAATTGGCTACCCTGGATTTGGAGAAGGCTGAGGTTCTGAATGACTTCTTTGCCTCGGTCTTCACTGGCAAATGCTCTGACCGCACCACCCAAGTCTTGGAAGGCAGACACAGGGACTGTGATAATGAAGACCTTAGGCCCACTGTAGAAGAGAATCTGGCTCGAGACCATCTTAAGAACCTGAACGTACACAAGTCCATGGGACCTGATGAAATCCATCTGTGGGTCCTGAAGGAGCTGGCGAATGAAGTTCCTAGCCAGTGTCCATCATATTTGAAAAGTAATGGCAGTCAGGTGAAGTTCCCAATGACTGGAAAAAGGGAAATATAACCCCCATTTTCAAGAAGGGGAAAATGGATGACCCAGGGAATTACAGACCAGTCAGTGTCACCTCTGTGCCTGGCAAAATCTTGGAGCAGATTCTCCTGGAAGGCATGCTAAGGCACATGAAAAACAGCAAGATGCTTGGTGACAGCCAGCATGGCTTCGCTAAGGGGAAATCCCGCCTGACCAAATTGGTGGCCTTCTATGATGGGGTTACGGACCTGATGGACAGAGGTAGAGCAGTCGATGTCATCTACCTGGACTTGTGCAAAGCGTTTGACACTGTCCTGCATGACATCCTTGTCTCTAAATTGGAGAGACATCAATTTGATGGATGGACCGCTTTGTGGATAAAGAACTGGCTGGATGGCCTCATGAAAAGGGTTGTGGTCAATGGCTCAGTGTCCAGCTGGAGACCAGTAAGGAGTGGTGTCCCTCAGGGATCGGTGTTGGGACCGGTCTTGTTTAACATCTTTGTCGCTGACATGGACAGTGGGATTGAGTGCGCCCTCAGCAAGTTTGCCGATGACACCAAGCTGTGTGGTTCGGTTGATATGCTGGAGGGAAGGAATGCCATCCAGAGGGACCTCGACACGCTTGTGAGGTGGGCTGATGCCAACCTCATGAAGTTTAACCATGACAAGTGCAAGGTCCTGCACCTGGGTCGGAGCAATCCCAGGCACAGCTACAGGCTGGGCAGAGAAGAGATTCAGAGCAGCCCTGTGGAGAAGGACTTGGGGGTGTTGGTCAATGAGAAAATGAACATGAGCCAGTTTCAGTGCGCGCTCGCAGCCCAGAAAGCCAGCTGTATCCTGGGCTGCATCAAAAGGATCGTGACCAGCAGGTCGAAGGAGGTGATCCTGCCCCTCTACTCTGCTCTTGTGAAACCTCTCTTGAACTACTGTGTGCAGTACAGGCTGAGAAAGGTGGGCCTGTTCAGCCTGGAGGGGAGAAACTGTGTGGAGACCTCATGGCAGCCTTCCAGTATCTGAAGGGGGCTTATAAGGATGCTGGGGAGGGACTCTTCATTAGGGACTGTAGTGACAGGACAGAGGGTAAAGGGGTTGAAACTTAAACAGGGGAAGTTTAGATTGGATATAAGGAAGAAGTTCTTTACTGTGAGAGTGGTGAGGCACTGGGATGGGTTGCCTAAGGAAGTTGTGAATGCTCCATCCCTGGCAGTGTTCAAGGCCAGGTTGAACAGAGGTGACATGGTTTAGTGTGAGGTGTCCATGCCCATGGCAAGGGGGTTAGAACTTTATGATCTTAAGGTCCCTTCCAAACCTAACTATTCTGTGATAACTCTCCTCCTTTAAGCTTTTCCAGGAGTTTTTTAGCGTAAGAGAAAGGAATTAAAACTGATGCAAAGGGATCTGCATACCAGCCTTTCTACATAAGCCGATAAGATATTCTCCATCATACCGGAAATAGTGATTCAGCTCAGTGGCTTCAAAATGCATTTAGCTAATTATTTTGTAGTTACCATGGCAGCTTGTGTGCCAAGCCCAGATGGTGCCCTCATTTCATTCAATCAGTAGTGGATTTGCTGTTTGAAAAAGAAATATGGAATGTGAATTGGCATCAGCTGCTTGCTATCCTCCTCAGTTTGAAACTGAGGATATACCTGTTGTGCTCATGCTTTCCTGATCTGCACTTGGCTGGTGCTGTTAGAAATTTCAGTTTCTCCAGATGCCTTGTATGCATTCCAGCAGTCGTTCAGCCAGCTGCCTCATGCTTTTGTAAGGCTTCAGTTGGATAAGGCAAGAATGAATCCTTCTCTGATGTTGGTGGCCATGTAGAAAGCAGAAACTTCTAAAATGTAATGGCAGCATCTATTTCTAAGGTTATTCACTGGCTAAAAGTTAATTGCTACCATAGCATCTTTGAATTCTTAAACTGCTTTCTGAACTGCTGGCTGACAATCTGGCTATTTCAGGTTAATAGCTACAGCGCAGTCAAACTGACCACTGAGGATGCCGTTGCTTTGCAGTTGCTGCTGAAGTCTGAGCAGAAAACGTTTTTCAAGATTCATAAAATTCATGAATATTGCATGCCACACTACCTCTGAAGAGGCTTCCTTTCCTGACAGGCCATCTGGTTAGAGTGACTGCAGCTTTCAGTTCCTTTAAGCAAGTCATTGGATGTAGCTGCTTGGGAACACCCATAATCCAGTGTCCATTAACAGAAAACAATGTGATCTGTAGTACATGAAGTCACAATTAAGATTGTAATATTTCAAGGCAATTTGTAGGCACAATATTTATGTATTTAGTATACATAAATAATGGTGTTTGCTGTCATGCCTTTACAGAGAAGGTACAAAGAGTAGGTAGTTTATCCTGTGCTTGACTCTTAGTCTTAAAAAAAAAAAAAACAACAACCCACCAGGATCCTGTGTTTTATTGTTAGAGGATTCTTTCACAGTTCAAAGAGAACAAGCTGTTTAGCTGTTATCTTAAAACAAAAGGTATATATTGGGGATTGAGAGGCAGATCCTTTATTGTGAGTTTGCCCTGTAGTCATGTAGCCTAATACAATGTCTCTTACAGTAGCCGGCAGTTAAGACAGGTATAAGAACAGGGCTATTCAGGCTGTTGGAACAGAAATCTTCCCTTATCAGTGATCTGGTAGTAGAGTACCATTGACCTAATAGAATCATAGAATATGGGTCAATATGCATCAGGTGAAGGGGTGGTGGTGGTGAGAAATTGATTCAAAATATGTGCTAATAAAATCTTCTAAATAAGAGCACAGTCTTTATATTTGGCTTTCCCCCCACATGCAGTGGAAGTCTGAAAATTCCAGTCTTTATTTACGACGTCAAGGGTTGTAGAAATCGAAGTGCTACAGTTCTTATATTTTACTCACAATATAAATGCTTTGGTCTTTAAAAGTCCTGAAGAATTATTAGTTATTAGAATGAGTAATTAATCTTAAGGGCTTTTGCAATAACATCATTGCCTATTCTTGAGGTGATTATAGTTGGAGAGTAAAAACAAGAGAAATCTTTGTTGGGGAGGGGGTTATTAACAGAGCTGAGAGGTACTCTACATGTTAAGTCTTGTTCCATTGTCCATCATTGCTCTCCAGTGCTTCTGGATTTTTTTTCAGCCCCACCAGATGGGATAGTAGGCCTGTTAAATTTAACAACTTTGGCAGCAAATGGGAATACTTTACAAGGATTGCTTTTTGCTTATGTGAATAATGCTACCAGTAAATTATCATAGAATAGTTAGGGTTGGAAAGGACCTCAGGATCATCAAGTTCCAACCCCCCTGCCATGGGCAGGGACACCTCACACTAAACCATATCACCCAAGGCCTCATCCAGCCTGGTCTTGAACACTGCCAGGGATGGAACATTCACAGCCTCCCTGGGCAACCCATTCCAGTGCCTCACCACCTAACAGGAAAGAATTTCCTCCTTATATCCAATCTAAACTTCCCCTGTTTAAGTTTCAACCTGTTACCCCGTGTCCTCTCACTACAGTCCCTAATGAAGAGTCCCTCCCCAGCATCCTTGCAGGCCCCCTTCAGATACTGGGAAGCTGCTATGAGGTCTCCACGCAGCCTTCTCTTCTCCAGGCTGAACAGGCCCCAACTTTCTCAGCCTGTCTTCATACGGGAGGTGCTCCAGTCCCCTGATCATCCTCATGGCCCTCCTCTGAACTTGTTCCAACAGTTCCATGTCCTTTTTATGTTGAGGACACCAGAACTGCACACAATACTCCAGGTGAGGTCTCACGAGCAGAGTAAAGGGGCAGGAAAAATTAATTAATTAATATGGCTTTAACATCCCCTTTTTAAGGATGATGAGGCTTTTACCACTTTCTGAACTCTTTTGACTACAGAATGCTGAGACTTTTTGATTATCTTATTCTGCAGGTCCACCTATTCAAGTAAATAGTTATTTCCAGCAAGAGTTTCCCAGTCTTCCGGCAGCTGGGGATCAGGAAAAGTCAGGCAAAGAGAAAGATGCACCTGAAGAACTTCATGGATCAGGACCAAGCTTGCGGCCACAAAGTAAGTATATACTGTAAATTTTTTTGAAATCACATGGGTTTGTGTCAAACTTGTTCATTACAAGGATATTTATGTCCCGTACAAAAGGAATTGATTCACTGATTGTTTTAATCAACACACTCCTACACTGAAGAAACAGATTTTTGCACTTTCTTCTGCTTTACTGTGTTCCTGGTATGCAGAAAATAAAGTATTTGATCCTATTCTGCAGTTCACTTTCCATTTTCCTAACCTAGTCAGTACTTCAGTTGTGCTCGAGGAGCATTTGTTAGTTGCACAATACTGTCATTTTCTTAAATCCAGCTGCTAGATGTCACAACAGTTAAAATATGTATTTAAAGGACTCTCTTAATATTATAGTAGTTGTCATTAGAGTTGTCTCCAAGTAGTTAGTACTCAGTAGCCTGAAAAATCCCAAATAGGAAGTTAAATCTACAGGATACCAAAAGAGTGGACTGTAATTTGAAAGGCATTCACATCTTTAGCGCATGACTGAGGTGCACTGACTAGCTGGATCTGTTTCAGCTCTGGGGGATTAGATCTAGTGAAAACAACCGTAAGTGTTGGTTTTACATGTCTCAGTGAAGAAATATGTATTGTTTCCCCAGATCCTTTTAATGGGAAAGCATATGGAATTGTGCTTGTTTCCAGTGAAAACCAGGACTTCTTTCTTCCTTAAAAGTATTTCCAGTGAGGTTTGGTGGACCAGGGATCTCTTCCTGCACTGTAGGTAGCACTTTCTTGTGCCACTGATAGGCAAGATGGGCACTGTGCTTCTTAAGGTCCTTACTTGATTTTGATATAGAGAATAAGTTGCCAAGAAATTTGGGAGATGTCCAACACCAAATTAGGGAAATAGCTGTGTGTGTTTCTTCCAGCGTCCTACAGGCAGTTATAGTATTGGTCAGCACTGTACGTGCTGTATTAAGCCCTTCTTACAAGTCTTGACAGCAGAAAGCTTGATGAATTTGGTGAGTACTGCCCCTTTAGCAGCCATGCTCCCCAGCAAAGATAAGTGGAAGAACTGTAATAGATACTTAGGAGCATAGTTTAACCCTACTTAAAGGGATTGTGCCCCTAACAGAACAGTCTTTACAGAGCATGTCTGAATTTTTCTTGGTCCCCATGAATCTGAGCACTGCTGTTTTTATTGCCCTAACCTATGCTTTGTAGGCTGAAACTGTAAAAAAAAAAAAAAAGTTAAAATGGACCACCTGGCACAAGTCATTAAAATACCTTACTTTTCCTGGACTTTTTGCTAGACATTCACACCCAGAAGCACAGTCCTCATCATTTCTATTTTATCCTTATCAGACAGAGATACAAGCCCAGACTCTGGATATCTGTCTTCACTTAGTAAGATAATGCACAGGTATATGTCATTTTGAGCCGCTTTGGTGTTTCATGGTAGGCCTTTGCTGCTTAAGAAGCTTGATCTTTCTCTTGACAGCATCTTCACACTGAGTCAACAGTGGCCCACTTGCCACAGCTAAATCTGTTTTCTCTCCTGTGCTATTATTAGTATTGTTCCTAAACTGTGTTGTGTTTTGGAAGGTAGAGTAGGATGACTAGAGTGATCTATAAATTTAACTCTTGCACTTCAGGAGCACAGCTGAATGTAGGGCTAAAGAGGATTAGAAAACAGCCTCTGTTTCATCAAGCAGTCATTGCTTTCGGTGCCAGATATGAATGTGTGTCTGCACTGATTGCTGTGTTACTGAAAAGTGGGTAAGGAAGAGTGTGTTTTTTATTATGCCTGTCTGTAAATCCGTAGTATAAAGTTTGTTCTTGTTTTGTCTCGTACTGATTCTGCCCATGTAGATGCTACTAATTGGAGAGAAGGTGGTAATAAGAGCAACTCACCCAGTTCTCCAACTGATCAAGAAGCTAAGGCCCTTGGACAAGAAGATGGTAATGCTACACCAACAGAACAAAATGATGGCCAGAAGGCAGCAGAGAAGAGAGATGTGCGGTTACCACAGGTCCCTCAGCCCAAGCTGAATGGCCAGCAGCAACCACCTGTCTCTTCTCAGTACAGAGCAATGATGCCACCTTATGTAAGTGATGGTTACATGGAAGGTTTTAAAGCAGCAGGGATTGGTTATTGGCTAGTGTAATTTCTTCATGCCCCCTTTCATCTCCCTCCATGGAACACTTTAGCAGTTCTGCTAGAAGGTTGGGATTGCAACCAACTGCTCAAAGGATGTGGCTGCCTGTTGCCACTTGCTACACTGAGTTTCAATTTGTCAGGAGTTGGTTAACACTTGTAAACACTCGGTGACTTAATGTCACACACTTGAGATACTAAGCAAACTTAAGAGGCTTGCTTTACTTCCATTGTGATTCTTTTGATGATCTCAGTATGCTTAATGTAGTTACAATATTTAATGAATGGTTCCTGTTTTTAAACCTTTCTTAGATGTTTAATCAGTATCCTAGAATGGCATATCCTCCCTCCATGCAAGGTCCAACAAGGTTTCCCAATTCTGAGCTTAGCAGGTAAGAAACCTTACAAGTGTTACTGGTGCATGGGTATGAACTCTGTTAGTGACTTAATAACAAAAAAATAAAAATAAAAATTGCACTGAGTATTTTGATTATGATCATGCACCGCATAAGAACTGCTAATGGTTAGTCTCAAGTTTGGCTTGTGTGGAGCAGTGCTAGGGAGTGATTTGTGTTTGGTAACTCAACTATGAAACTTCAGGGAATTCTGCACATTACAGGAAGAGCAGGAGTCACTTGGGAGCACCTTTGAAACTTCAGCCAGTAGTTTCACCTGTAAAAGGACACTTCCATTGTTACCATGAAAGTAGTTAGTTCCTGGTTCTCAACTCTACTGCTTTCCAGTTAAGGAACTCTAATGCATTATACCATTTATTTTCTTCATTTCTCCATAGCTGAGGATGTCTGTGTACATGCATGAGGAAATAGGGAATGCTATAGGCAGTAGGGTACAAACTGGGTGGGATCAGGAAGGGGACAGAAAGGCTGAGAGGGTTGGGTGGGAGAACTTGAGTTTAGGAGTAGGAGAAGGTGCAGAATCTTTGATGATAGGAAAGCTTGAAAAGTAGAAATATATCTGAGGTGGATTAATTGGTGTCAAGAAGGATGCCAGATCTATGTGGTGTGTTGTTTGAAAGCTACAAGGCATTTGATTTTGACTGTCAACTGATGTTTGGCTTGTTTGTGAAGTAGGCAAGGCTATAGCATCTAATCTTTCTCTTCCTTAAATAACCATCTGGTGTAGCAGTAATTATTGAAACTACAGCAGTCGCACATGTGGATGACCTTTATACTGTATTGAGAGAACAGTACCATATACTTCAAATAATCATCATATAAGTTGACGATTTATCTAGTCATGTGGATAAATAATGACAGTGGCCATTGTTTTTTTCTCTTTTTTTTAGAGGGCCAAGGGGAAGAGGACCACCTTCATGGTGTTCAGAACCTATTGAGCGCCCATCCATTCTTAGTGCTAGTGAACTTAAAGAACTTGATAAATTTGATAATCTAGATGCTGAGGCTGATGAAGGCTGGGCAGGTAAGAACATAAGATTAATGATTTTTGTTATTTGTACAGTGAATCTTTCTGAAAGATTAATTGAATATTTGCTTATGGATCAGGTGCTCAGAGTGAAGTGGATTACACTGAACAGTTGAACTTCAGTGATGATGATGAGCAAGGAAGTAGTCAAAAAGAGAAGGAAAGTGGGTGAGTCGGTGTTGCCAATTAGGCATGAATGCCACTTAGTGTTTGGAAAGGTTTAATGAAATGAGTGCAAGTGCTCATTCGAAAAATATTCCTGTAATTGAATACTGTATTAAATCGCGTAATTGCCTGCAGACTCCAGTCAGCTGGTGGGCGTGTAGTAGTGTTCCTTGCTGTGAGGTGCTTTTGCTCTTGCTAAAAAACATTGAGAATAGAAGATAAATCGCCAAATACCTATGTGGAGTACCCATTCCATTTTTCTTATTTCTCTGCACATAGTGATGAACAAACACCATCAAAAGATTCCCAGAGTCCTGATGGCCAGAAGGAAGCAGATGAACAGACAAGTGCTAAGTCTGCCACCCAAGTTTCCACAGCAGCAGCCAAAGGGTCATACGGCAAAAGTTCTCAGCTTGATCAGGTTTGTGTTCTTCTCTTCAGCTCTTCTGGCAATAGCCTCATCAGGAAAGGTCCAGCTCAGGTGTCTTTACAGTTAGGTCAATTAAAGTTATGAACATGAGTGAAAGCATTAGCTACTGAAAGAATTATCTGAGTTCTCGTAACCGATCAGGTGCTGCTAGGTCAACTTAGCTGGTTCTGGTCACAAAATAAAAATAGCATGTCTTTATCTAGTGTGTTCTAATTCACAGCTGTGAGGGGGTGAGAACACTTGTGCCAGTGTGACTGAACTCATAAGCTTTAACTCAGTGCCCTTGTCTGTCCATCCCTGTAACTGAATGAAGCTGTTCTGGTGTCATCATACTTCATAGTGGCACAGGGTAAACAGCACCCAGTTGACCCACGCATTTTTTTCAGGCTGTGGGTTTTTGGTTATTTTTTTGGGGAGTTGTTATTTTGTATCATGACCTGCTTTCCTCAGTGCAACTTAGCAGGAATGTGTCAGTTCACTTCTGATATCTCAGGCAGACAGATTTTTATACAGACCATGTAAAATGCATCAGCTCAAATGTTTCGGTTTTCGATTTACCCTCTGGTAGAGGAAGATTGACAACCACCTCAGCTTATGCCTACTTCAGTCCTCTTTAAATCTATTTCCCCTTCCTCTCCCCAGGAAAGCCTGCCATTGGCTTTATATTAAAATTTCCCAGAAATGTATTCTCTTGACACCAGTAATAACAAAGATGGGGGATCTTGAATTATTTTTACTTGTGCTTTCTCTATATGTAAAGAACATGTCTTTCAGGGTTGGATGCTACACTGAATCCGAGGAAAAATAGTGCAGTAACATGAAGTCTGGAATATGGATGTGTGAATTTTTAAAGTAATTGTTTAATGATCAGTACATAACATGAAAATTTTCTTGCCATTGTTTTACATGGTTATTTGTTTCATGTGCAGATAGTTCTCTAGGTGTGGTATCTTAATGCAGTGGAAAACAATAAATCTAAAATTTGTTAGCTTGACTGTTCTGAGCTTGCTTAACTCTGGTGCTGTGTTTGATCCAATAGGATCGGGGTCCAGCACAGCCTTCTCTACATGAAAGAGGTGGTCCTGCTCTTCATCCAAAATCTATTCTACCACCGGTAAGAGAGATTAGAATTGTCTTTATTTACCTTAGTTAAATTCTTTAATGCTGTGTTGGAGGGATTTAGACTAACAAAAGTAAAAATATGCCTTACATAGGGATAAGCCTTTTCTTTAGCAAGAAAAATGATTGTAGTACTTGGCCAGTAAGAATGGGACCCCAACACAACTGTGCTGCTAATTGTGTAAAGCAATAGTTGTATGAAATGCATGAGAGCTTCAAATGCTTTCAGTTATCCAACCCCTTTTGAGAACTAGAGAGGACAGGGGCGTAGGAGCAGTACTGAAGGGCTGCCTGCTGAGGCAGATGGGGAGATGAAGTCCCAGATAAAATGTGTACATAGTAGCTTCTTAGAATTCTTAATAGTCGTTATTAAGATCTCTTATCCTGAGCTACATGGAATTTCTTTGGCTTCTTGGGGAACTTTAGTCTGAGACCTGCCTTGAGTTTCTGTGATTAAGAGTGGCCTATAATCAAATCTAAAAGATGTTTATCTTTGCTGTCTGATGGGGAGGAGTGACATGAGCCTAGTGAATGTTTACCTCTCCTTTCTGAGCTCATTGCGTGAGTCTGAACTGGAGCAGGCAGGTGAGGGCTTGCTTTTTCTTCCAAATCTTGCTTTTTTTATGGTGTCACGCAAATACATGTGCTGATAAATAGTTAAGTTATAGTATTTCAGCTGGCTGTTTATGTAACACATGTTCAACTTGACTCAACTGATTTTAATATTGCAGCACCCTCCTCCCCCTGATCGCCAGGTAGGACCTGGAAGGCAGGGACCCTTTCCCCCTAAACCAGTGCCAGATGAAGATGAAATTTGGAAACAGAGGAGAAGACAGCAGTCAGAGATATCCGCTGCAGTTGAACGAGCCCGTAAGCGGCGAGAAGAGGAAGAAAGAAGAATGGAAGAACAGCGCAAAGCAGCTTGTGCTGAAAAGCTAAAACGGTTAAATGAGAAATTTGGCTGTGTGACAAAACCCTCCAGGGAAGACCCTCTGAAGGAGCGGGAGAGGGAAAGGGAACGGGAAAGGGAAAGAGAGAGGGAAAGGGAAAGGGAGCGGGAAAAGGAGAGGGAACGGGAGAGGGAACGAGAGAGAGAAAAAGAGAGGGAGAAGGAAAAAGAGAGGGAAAGGGAGAAGGAAAAGGAAAAAGAAGAAAAAGAAAAACTGGAGAAGGCAAAAGAGCAAGAAGGAGAAAAAGAGAAAGAAAAGGAGATGGAGAAAGAAGAGAAGGAAAAAGAAGAGGAGAAACCAGCACATGAGGTTCCTGAGGCTGTAGAACCTGTGGCTACACATGTAGTAGAAAAACAAGAAAGTGAAAACAGGAATAACAAGGAAGAAAAAGGTATGTTTGCACACAAGTAGGAGCTGTCTGCCTTAAAGCTGAACCACAGAGCATAGTTGTAATCTGGGAGTCTAATTCACATATCTTATTAACCCAGTGCATCTAGATCACTTACTTCCTTGGCATATTACAGCTACTAACTACTTTGAGCTAGACCCATTTACCCAGCTTATCAAAATGTTAAAGGAAAAATTTGGTTTATTGATTTAGGCTGGACTTTGAGGAATGTGGAAAGAGAAACAGGCTTTCTTCTCTTGATAAAGGAGGTTCAGCAACTCGTGTTGCTAGAAAGCAATGTAAATTATTTCAGCTGTTCTGTTCTTTCAGCAAGCCTAGAGGAGTAAACATAAAGAGGAGGTAAACTTGATGCTTGTTTGTAGTGGAACTGAAATGTCACAGGAGAACTGCTAGACTGTGCTTAATAAGGTTGTGTTATCCTCTAAATGAGTAAAAGTGATTGTAAAACCAAACCTTGGTTCATTTAAAAAAAAAAAGTTAAATATAATATGGTTGTGTGATACAGCCTTTTTTTTTTTTTAATTACTTGATAGTTACAACCTAAATGCTAGTGTTTGATTACCCAGTGTGTTTGAGTTTAAAAGGGGCACTGAGAGATGTACTAACAGCAGTTGTCCTGTTTGAGGGGTTGTTCTCAACATTTTTTTTTTTTTTGCCTTTATTTTAGTTTTGGAAACTAAGACTGTGACGATAAAGAAGGCAGACTTTTTATTTTAGGACAACATTCTTTATCTGACATTCTGGTGAAATTGTCATAGCCTAAAGATTCACATTTGTTTCCCACATGTGGATTTGTTGGGTTTTTGTTTTTCAGAAGATCAGGCAGTCTTTACCCGACAAGATAGTGGTCGGAATGAGAAAGAGATTTCACAGGTGACTCATGAGAGTGAGCCAGATTCAGGATCTCAGCCTCGTCCTGCTGTTTCCTCAGGCTATTCTAAACAGTTCCAGAAATCATTACCACCAAGATTTCAGAGGCAGCAGGTAACTAATGAGTTAATTTAAAGAAGGAAGCTCATTACAAGAATGGTGTCTTTAGCCTTATGCTTAGCAAGAACATGACCATAGGAATTTCAGAAAGCCTAAGCTGTTGGTTTCCAGCTTCTGTAACATCTGTGGCATTGGTGGGACTTGTTTTGTGTGAAACATTTTTTGTCACTTGTAAAATAACGCAAGTGAGCAGAAAGCAAGAGAGGCTTTTGAAACTGGCCAGTTTTAGCATCAGTTGGTGGACGTAGAGCATTGCTCTATGGTTGTCTGTGGAACCTGGGGTCTGATGATCATTATTTCTACAACTTTTCCTTAAAAGCTGTGAAACTCACAAATGTAATTTTGATTTGGATCCTATGGTCTGAAGAGCACTTTGCATTAATGACGCACACGAAGCATAGGTTGTTCAGTGTCACTGCTGAACATCAGCAGAACTGTAGCTATTCTAAATTGTCCAGTCTGGTTTGCTCCCCTTTCTCCTAGTTCATGCTGATGAGTGTTTGCAGTTAACTTTTGGAATGCTTAGTGTCCTGGAGATAACCATACTTGTGGTTTCCAGGGGTTATTTGAATTCTGCTTAAGTCTGTGTTTTGAAAGTCTTGTAATACTGCTTTCTGTTGCACAGGAGCAAATGAAACAGCAGCAGTGGCAGCAGCAACAGCAAGGTGTCCTTCCCCAGTCTGCTCCCTCACAGCCTTCTAGTGGCCCTGTCCCGCCACCCCAGCATAGACCCCTTTACCAGCCCATGCAGCCACATCCTCAGCATTTAGCTTCAATGGGCTTTGATCCAAGGTGGCTTATGATGCAGTCTTACATGGACCCACGAATGATGTCAGGAAGACCTGCAATGGATATGCCTCCTATTCATCCAGGTAAAATCTGGCAGGATTTTTTACTATTGAGCTTTCCTGCTTTTGAAATAGAAATATGTATACGCATAGAATCACAGAATAGTTAGGGTTGGAAAGGACCTTAAGATCACCTCCCTGACATGGGCACGGACACCTCACACTAAACCATATCACCCAAGGCTTCGTCCAGCCTGGCCTTGAACACTGCCAGGGATGGAGCATTCACAATTTCCTTGGGCAACACGTTCCAGTACCTCAACACCCTCACAGTAAAAAACTTATTCCTTATATCCAATCTAAACTTCCCCTGTTTAAGTTTTAACCCGTTACCCCGTGTCCTCTTGCTACAGTCCCTAATGAAGAGTCCCTCCCCAGCATCCTTGCAGCCCCCCTTCAGGTACTGGAAGGCTGCTATGAGGTCTCCACGCACCCTTCTCTTCTCCAGGCTGAACAGCCCCAACGTTCTCATCCTGTCTTCATACGGGAGGTGCTCCACTCCCCTGATCATCCCCGTGGCCCTCCTCTGAACTTGTTCCAACAGTTCCATGTCCTTTTTATGTTGAGGACACCAGAACTGCCCACAATACTCCAGGTGAGGTCTCACAAGAGCAGAGTAGAGGGGCAGGATCACCTTCGACCTGCTGGTCATGCTCCTTTTGATGCAGCCCAGGATACAGTTGGCTTTCTGGGCTGCGAGTGCGCACTGAAACTGGCTCATGTACATTTTCTCATCGAGCAACACCCCCAAGTCCTTCTCTGCAGGGCTGCTCTGAATCTCTTCTCTGCCCAAGCTGTAGCTCTGCCTGGGATTGCTCCGACCCAGGTGTAGGACCTTGCACTTGGCATGGTTAAACTTCATGAGGTTGGCATCAGCCCACCTCACAAGCGTGTCAAGGTCCCTCTGGATGGCATTCCTTCCCTCCAGCATATCAACCGAACCACACAGCTTGGTGTCATCGGCAAACTTGCTGAGGGCGCACTCAATCCCACTGTCCATGTCAGCGACAAAGATGTTAAACAAGACCGGTCCCAACACCGATCCCTGAGGGACACCACTCATTACTGGTCTCCAGCTGGACACTGAGCCATTGACCACAACCCTTTTCATGAGGCCATCCAGCCAGTTCTTTATCCACAAAGCGGTCCATCCATCAAATTGATGTCTCTCCAATTTAGAGACAAGGATGTCGTGTGGGACAGTGTCAAACGCTTTGCACATGTCCAGGTAGATGACATCGACTGCTCTACCTCTGTCCATCAGTTCCGTAACCCCATTATAGAAGGCCACCAATTTGGTCAGGCGGGATTTCCCCTTAGCGAAGCCATGCTGGCTGTCACCAAGCACCTTGTTGTTTTTCATGTGCTTTAGCATGCCTTCCAGGAGAATCTGCTCCAAGATTTTGCCAGGCACAGAGGTGACACTGACTGGTCTGTAATTCCCTGGGTCATCCATTTTCCCCTTCTTGAAAATGGGGGTTATATTTCCCTTTTTCCAGTCATTGGGAACTTCACCTGACTGCCATTACTTTTCAAATATGATGGACACTGGCTAGGAACTTCATTCGCCAGCTCCTTCAGGACCCACAGATGGATTTCATCAGGTCCCATGGACTTGTGTACGTTCAGGTTCTTAAGATGGTCTCGAGCCAGATTCTCTTCTACAGTGGGCCTAAGGTCTTCATTATCACAGTCCCTGTGTCTGCCTTCCAAGACTTGGGTGGTGCGGTCAGAGCATTTGCCAGTGAAGACCGAGGCAAAGAAGTCATTCAGAACCTCAGCCTTCTCCAAATCCAGGGTAGCCAATTCTCCTGATAGCTTCCGGAGAGGGCCCACGTTGTCCCTAGTCTGTTTTTTATTTGCTACATACCTATAGAATCCCTTCCTGTTATCTTTCACATCCCTAGCCAAGTTTAATTCTAACTGGGCCTTAGCTTTCCTAACCTGGTCCCTAGCTTCCCAAACAACATCCCTGTATTCTTCCCAGGCCGCCTGTCCTTGCTTCCACCTTTTATAAGCCTCTTTTTTTCCCCCTGTAAGTTTCCTCAGCAGCTCCTTATCCATCCAGGGAGGTCTCCTGGCCCTCCTGCTGCACTCCTGTTGTCAGGAGGCAACACTCCTGAGCTTGTAGCAGGTGATCCTTGAATATCAACCAGCAGTCTTGGGCCTCCCTGCCCTCTAGGACTGTTTCCTATGGAATCTTACTAAGCAGGTTCCTGAAGAGGCCGAAGTCTGCTCTCTTGAAGCCCAGGGCAGTGAGCTTGCTGCATGCTCTTCTCACTGTCTTGAGGATCTTGAACTCAACCATCTTATGATCACTGCAACCAAGGCTGTCCTGGAGCGTCACATTTCCAACCAGCCCCTCCCTGTTGGTAAGCACGAGGTCAAGCATGGCACCGCTCCTTGTTGGCTCCTCTGTTACTTGCAGAAGGAAGTTGTCTTCCACGCAATCAAGGAGCCTCCTGGATTGCTTGTGCCAGGCCATACTGTCCCTCCAGCAGATGTCAGGGAGGTTGAAGTCCGCCATGAGGACAAAGGCCTGCGAGCATGAGGCTGTTCCTATCTGTCTGTAGAGTGCTTCCTCCACAGATTCCTCTTGATCAGGAGGTCTGTACCAGATCCCCACAGTAATGTCTCCCATCACTGTTCTCCCTTTAGCCCTGACCCTCAAACTCTCTGTTGCCTGCTCACCTGTTCCCAGACAGAGTTCCATACTCTCCAGCCTATCTCTAATATAAATAGCAAGTCCCTCTCCCTGTCTGCGGGGCCTATCTTTTCTAAAGAGCCTGTAACTTTCCATTCCAACACTCCAGCCATAGGAGCCATCCCACCATGTTTCTGTGATGCCTGTTATATCATTCGCCCATAGATGTGCACACGTCTCTAATCCCTCATTTGTTCCCCATACTACAGGCGTTTGTATAGAGGCATCTGAGCCGAGCTCCACATGAAGCCGGCTCATTGGCTGGAGCGGCTGGGATATCTCTGTATTGCTCCCAGCATTTATTATAGGTGCTCGCAACTGACTGGGTGTGTTGGGATGGAATGATGCCCCCCTCCCGCAGTACATCTAGTTTAAAGTTTTCTTGACTAGTCTGGCAAGCTTCCTACCAAAACGGCTGTATACATATTATACACTATATATAGTGACAGAGAGTGGGTGGGTTTCTTAAAACTATATTATTTTATTGCTTGGAAGAAAATAGATTTTAATAGTACAAAAAAAAACATAATTTTTTGTTACTTGATTCTGAGTGAGCAGCTCTAGAGTCTTACTAGATTTGTGTCTTCAGATTCTTGGCACTTTTGAATTTGTGGAATGGCTGTCTGACATGCAGTTAGGAAAGCTATTGTCCACAGATAATACAAGTCTGGCATGTAATGTAATGGAGATACTTATCAAGCTAGTGAGCATAGGATATCCTGTATGAGTCCAAGGAATGAACAGAGGAAGTGGCAGGTTAAGCAAAGACAGTGAAAATTGTTGAATTTCTTTAAAAATGCTACACCCCCTTCCTTCCTGTTCCCCCACCACCAAAAAAAAAAAGGGCCTACAGTACAAAAAAGCATGTGTGTGTATGCTCATGTTGACTTTTGCCATTCAGATTTTACAGCAGAAAGGTCATCTACAAGTGTACAAGTTTACAGACCTGGTTCTTTCCCTTATAGTAGAAGCAGACAGCTTTTCCTTTTGTTGGCACATAGGGTACTAGTGGTGAATATGATTTAGTAATTCAGAGGTCACCTGGCACTAAATAAACATTTTGTTTCAACAGTGGAAAGAAAGGAGATGGAGGAGAGAGAATAGTGTTTTTCAGTACCTTCTGATACACTTTGTCTGTCTTCAGGTAGATTTCTTTGCTAATGTTAAATGTGTTTTGATTTTTGAACTTAAATCTGTCACAGGAATTATGCCTCCGAAACCACTGATGAGAAGAGACCAGATAGAGGGATCAGCAACTAGTTCAGATTCATTTGAACATATAGCTCGCTCAGCAAGAGAGCACACTGTTCCTTTGTCAGAGCCCCGCATGATGTGGGGGTCAGACCCATATCCCCATGCAGAACCTCAGCAGTCTAGCTCTCCTCCCAAAGTGTTAGAAGAGCCTGACAATTTGAGGTAAGCCCAGGTTATGTAGTCCTGCATGTCACTTCTCCAAGACATACATATTTACACACTTGGCTGTGTAACTTAGGTTGCAAAACACAGTTTAAACTTACTGGGTTATAGCTGCTCTCGGCCCAAAAGGAGTTGTGACTGGCGATGCAGTGTTCTTGGCGCTGTTGTATAAAACAGAAGATACGCCTGCTCTGTAGTAGGGTGTATAAAGACAATTTACCCCATGATATTTTGAATTTTCAGTTTTGTAGAACAATTCTACAATGTTGTCCTGTTCTCCATCTGCCCTGCATCCTCCCTGTACCAGAGAACTTCTGTCTGATGTATATTAGTTTCAAAAGTGGTGTGTTAAATACAAATGAATTTAAGCAAGACAGTTAACTTTTGACGTTTGTTGCGTGATGAGTGGTCAGGAAGGCTTCCTCTACATCTTTAAAGTACCTGGAATTTTCTTTTCTGTACTGCTGTCTGAGTAATACTTGTGATATTCACCTGCCAACTTTGGGGCTCCATTTAAAATTGCACATATGGCCATTAACACTTAAGAGACTCGCATAGCTGATTGTGCATGTGGCACTGAACTCTTAATCAGTATAGAATTGACCCCTACAACTGGCAGCCACTATGAAAATTAATACCTGTTATTTTCTAGGGCTGACATTAATCCTTCATTGAAACAGAAGATTTATTTTAGTAAACGTGAGTAGAATTTTTTCCTTCACCCTAATGTTCTTAATTGTTTGCTGCTTAGGTCTGAGGCACACTTGGAGCAAGAACGAGTTGCTGTCCCTGCCACTGCTTATCCTGTAGAACACAACCAGTTGGACTCGCATCCAAAGACAGATTTTTTCAGAGAATCAGGAGAGATGGAGGTACAAAAGTTCCCAAGCAGGCCTTTGGAAGATGTACAACCTCTCCAAACTGACACACCTAACACAGCAGTTAATTTTGAAGGAGTGAAGGACAAAGTTACACATAGCTCTCCAGAAGAACTGGTGCCTGTAGGGGAAAGTCACTCTTCACTAAAGAGAAGCATTTCCCATGGTTCAAGTCACTCTCTAAAGTCAGAAGACCAGAGGAATGAAACAGCAACAAATATACCTAAATTAAATAACAGGCCTCTTGAGACAAAGGAGACAATTGAGAGACTTGAGATTAAGCCAAAAAAAGAAATTCTGATCAATAGTAGAACGCTAGAAGGACTAAAACCTGAAAAAACTTTCAAACCTAAGTCTGAAACAAGATGGGGTCCTAGGCCGGGTTATGGCAGGAGAGATGAAGGTGGTGATAGACCAGTAAGAAGATCAGGTCCTATTAAAAAACCTGTGCTTAGGGATATGAAGGAAGAGCGTGAACAGAGAGAGGAGCGTGAACAGAGGAAGGAGAAAGAAGGAGAAAAGACAGCTAATGAGAAATCTAGCAAGCCTGAAAAAGGTGACAGAAAGGAAGCATCTCAAGTGCCACTGCTTCAGACTGAGCCAGAGATATCTGTCTCCAGTGGCACTCCTCTGGCTAAGAAGACAACCCAGGATACTGCTGTGACCCTGGCAAGCCAAGAGAGGGGTCAAGCTGAGACTGCAGCTAAAGCACTGGTTCAGACACCCACACCTCCAGTCCCACAGCAGCTACCAGCCGCCCAGCCTGCTGCTCCACAGCTTCCCCCTGCAGTACAGCAGCAGCCACCAGCTCAGCCAGCAGCACAGCAGCAGCCACATGTTCAGCAGCCAGCTGCTGCAGTGAAGGAAGAAAAGCAGACTGAGAAGGTGGTTAGCAAAGAGGGTTTAGAAAAACCACGCTTAGAAACCAGACCAGTAAAAAGAGAGCCTGGCTTGCCACCTAGGACATACTGGAAAGAGGCTAGGGATAGAGACTGGTTCCCAGATCAGGGATACAGAGGCAGAGGTCGTGGGGAATATTATTCTAGAGGTCGTAGCTACAGGGGTTCTTATGGAGGACGTGGTCGGGGCAGTAGAGGCCATAATAGAGAGTACCCACACTACAGAGATCCTAAGCCTAGATCAGACCATGTGCCTTCAGGGCCTGTTAGGCAAAGAGAAGAGAGTGAAACTCGCAGTGAGAGTTCTGACTTTGAAGTAATTCCGAAACGGCGGCGGCAGCATGGTTCAGAGACGGATTCTGACAGCGAAGTTCATGAAAGTGCAAGTGATACACTGCTTTCAGACAAAGACAGTCTAATCAAAGGCAAGCACCCAAAAAGAGAAGACAGAACTGATGGTAAGAAGCCTCCAAAGGTTCTGTCGTTCAAACCTGAAAACAGTATCAGAGTAGACAACAGATCTCTAGAAAAAACATACATTAGAGATGATGATAACAAACCCAAACCAGGATTTCTTCCTAAAGGAGAACCTTCTAGACGAGGCAGAGGGGGAATGTATAGACGTGGTGGTAGGGATCCTGGTGGGCGTCCTCCACGTCCATCCACAATAAGGAGACCAGCCTACAGAGACAGTCAGTGGAACCCTAGGCAGACAGAGATCATTAAACCAGAAGATGGGGAGCCTCCAAGAAGAAATGAACATTATGGTCCTATACCAGTTGATAAAAGACCTCCAAAATTTGAGAGAAAGTTTGATCCAAATAGAGAAAGACCACGAAGACAAAGGCCTGCTCGGCCTCCAAGGCAAGATAAGCCGCCACGCTTTAGGCGCCTAAAAGAAAGAGAGGCTGCATCAAAGATAAATGAGACAGTAACCAGCACATCAGCAGGTGCAACAGTTAGTAATACAGTTAATGAACCCACCACCACTGCTCTGGATGTGTCGGAAAGTAAGACACCAGACTTGTCCAACCAGAATTCTTCAGACCAGGCAAATGAAGAGTGGGAAACAGCCTCAGAAAGCAGTGACTTCAATGAGAGGCGGGAGAGGGACGAGAAGAAAACAGCAGATGCAGCAGCACAGGTGGCTGCAAAGGCAGGAGAAAATGCTGGAGCTCCAAAAAGGGAAATAGCCAAGAGAAGTTTCTCTAGTCAGCGGCCTGGAATAGACCGTCAAAACCGACGTGGCAACAATGGGCCAGCTAAACCAGGGAGGAACTTCTCAGGGCCTAGGAGTGAAAGGCGGAGTGGTCCTCCACCCAGAAGTGGAAAGAGAGGGTGAGCACAAACTTCTGTTAGCATACATGGTCAGGGTCTTCTGTTGTCCTCTTGTGACCCAAAATCATAAGTAATCTTAGATTAGTAGAACGGCAGAAAAGAGTAAGAAACACATGCATCTGTGGCTGTGTACTCTTGGGGGTTTTTTGTTTTTTTTTTTTTGTATGCAGACACTTGGAACATGGAGCTAAGAGCAGAGTATTCTTGTATGCACAATGTTTAAAAATGCCTAATTAAAAATCTGCATTGAAGTGCTGCTTAAGTTGAGCTATATTTTTCAAGATTTGGATGCAAGCTAGAATAGTAATGTGTGGTTTGGCAGTTGATACATAAACTGCTGCATTGCCTTTAAGATCACTCAACATAAACAGACATATTGAGAAATGCTTGCCATTGAGACTGAACTTGGTTTTACTATGTGCTAAATTTGACTGACACCTGGTAATTATCTAATGCTACTATTTGCCCACTGTTTTCATGCCACACTGCATGGTAGTCTGGTAAGTGGGAAGCAGGACAAGAACTTTTTCCATTGAATGTCTACACTGTACTCAAAGAATCCTGTGTGTGTAGGTTGCTGTAGTCTTAAATTCAGGTTTTGCCTGAGCTTAAAAACTTGTGATCAGTGCTTTTATCTCCAAATTAAATCTATTAAGAGTTCCTTTGGCTAGTCACCTAATGGAGATGTTAAAGCAAAAAGTGGGTATTACGGGTTCCACAGCAAAGACAGAATGCTGAAAATCTGACGTGGATTCACATAGCTTTTGGGAAGTGAGCATGTGGAGTAAGTATATTGTGCCTTGTTTATATTTGCTGACATTGCATACTGTATGCTTCTAGTTAGCTTGGGGTTTGATTTAGTTTTGTTGTTTTTTGGTTTGGTTTGGGTCAGGGTTTTTTTGTATTTTTTTTTTTTCATGGAAGGATTTACTGCAGTTGAAGTATACTGAACTGCATCCTTGTTGAGCTTTGGTACCTCTAATTGCATAGACCAAGCCAGAGGTGACCTTCAAATCATGTTTTGTTTTTTTTTTCCTGTGATTCCTTTTGGCAGCAGGGCTTTGATACATCCCCAGAACAGCTTTTGCTGTTAAGCTGCTTCCCACTGAAGAGCTGAAAGTAGAAAGCTTGGAGCCTACTAAGAAATTGCACAGTAGGCAAAGCCCTACAGTAGGATCTGCATTAGATTATTAGCTTCTTCCTGAGTGTTCTCTGTGGCTGATCATTTTCTCACATTTTTTCTACTGTAGGCCCTTTGAAGAGCAGACAGCAACTGTGCCTAGTGTCGATCCCACCAACAGCAACTCTTTGCATCAAGAGGATGGAGGTGTTACTGCTGCAGGCCAAAAGAGCACCAAGGATGCAACTAGCAAAAAGAGAGAAGAACCTAAGGCTGGTCCAAAGAAGCCTAAGGAAAAAGTGGATGCCTTGTCTCAATTTGATCTTAATAATTACGCAAGTATGTATTGGTAATATCCTAACAAGAATTTGTAATCCTGCTAGATTTGCTGCATACGGAACTAGATGTTTGAAAACTTACAGGAAAGTGATTTTTTTTTTTTTTTTTTAATACCAAAATAATTATGTACTTGAGTATTGGTACCTTTGTCATTATCTAATTAATGTGTGTGCCTCTGAAGTGGCAAATCTCATTGTGTATTTTTATGAACAATAAAGATAAGAACAATTTTGTTCTATCACCTGATCTTAACTCTATCATTCGTACTGTTTTCCACCACATTCTTAATTTGCTTAACCTTCATAAACAAAGGCAGTGGATATCACTGATATCCCTTATAGCTAATATGTGAGGAAGGCTGTTCATTATTATGTTTTAGTTCTTACTTCATGGAGAGTCTTGTGTAGGAACCTCCAGTTTTCAATTCTTAAGGATTAACTCCTCGTCTTCAAGCTCAACATCAAAGCATTCTGGCAAGCAGAAGCTTACCTCTAATCAGGACCAATATCTGCGGGGAAATAGCTTCCACTCTAAAGCAGATTTTGGCTTGGTGCGCTGCATCTGAAGCCGTTAAAACAGCAGCATCTATACCTTTACTTATATTTCTGTAGGTGTTGTGATCATTGATGATCACCCTGAAGTGACAGTAGTTGAAGACTCCCAATCTAACTTGAATGATGATGGTTTCACAGAAGTGGTGTCTAAGAAGCAGCAAAAACGCCTGCAAGATGAAGAACGTAGAAAGAAGGAAGAACAAACAGTGCAGGTACAAGACCAGCATTTATAGTGGGGAAGAGCACCTTGCGGTACTGGGAATGTTGTGAAGTGTGCAGTATCTTCCTTCCAAAAATATTGTATTTTCAACTTATAAAATATAATCGGATACCTGTATTAATATGAAGTTGTTCAGAATTAGTAAATAATAATAAGTTTTACTTAGTCATCTTTGTGTTCTGTGCTTCCTGATTGGGCACTGCCAGGCAGGTGGAACTGGCAAACTGAAAACACTATTTTTCATACTGTGATAAAGATTTATACTATTGCTTGTATATTGGTCGGTTCCAAGAGGAAAATGGAAGAGAAATCATTGCTCCTGTGATTAAATACCCCTAAAAAAATAAAGTTCTTTAAGCCAGGGTTAATTAGTTTGCTTTTTGCTATGACACAATGTACAGTTGGTTGTCTGTACAGAGTTATCAGCTGTAAGAATAAAATTGGCTTCTGCTTACAGGTGTGGACCAAGAAAGGATCAAGTGAAAAAGGCCGAGGTCAGAATTCCAAGCTCCCACCCAGATTTGCCAAAAAGCAGCAACAGGCAGCAGCCGCAGCTGCACAGCAGGCACAAGCTCAGGCACAAGCTCAGGCACAGCCTCCGTGTACAACGCAGACTCCGGGTCAGCCACCAGCTTCTGTTCAGCCACCAAACCAGGCTGCAGGAGGAACAGCCAGCACAGAGTACACAGTGTCAGGCAAAGTTCTTCAAAACACTCAGGCTCACAATGGTCTGGGAGCTGAATTATGGGAAAACAAGGTGCCTCCCTCAGCAGTTCTAAATGACCTCTCCAAAAAATGTAAGTGGTGTCTTTCAGATTTGGGATAGGGCAAGCACTGTAGTTAGAGATTGCTGATTGCCAGCTCTCTCTGTTGATGTCTCATTTCTACCTGTATTGTGTGCAGGGAATACATGGCAGCATTCCCAAGTGCAGTGTTGTAACCTATGAATACCTCTGAAAGGAGATTTTTGCGGTACAATATTACTCAGTGGTTTACATTATTTTCTTTGTTCACTATGAATGAGCAGCTGTCACTACTTTCAGAAATCGTTTTATTAGGCTTGGTCATATTTCTAAACATCATGACTGCCCCACTTGGAAACAGCTAAATAGGTAGCATATTGTTAACTGCTAAATAGGTTAACAGTTTCTTCACCAAAGCTTATTAATAAACACATCTATAATTTAATTCTCAGTCAATTGATAACTTTAGTCAAAAGCATTTAGCAACATTGAGGGCGGGGTTAATCGTCTCTTTTCTTAATTGTCAGTGGGACCCATTAGCCCACCTCAGCCACCTTCCGTCAGTGCTTGGAACAAGCCTTTGACATCTTTTGGTTCAGCTACATCTCCAGAGGTAAGAATGAAGAGAAGAGTAGCTGTATATGAAGTTTACCACAGTTACATCTCATTAGAAGTGGGTACAGATTATCCCTTTATTCAGACATGCACTTAACTAATAAGTGTAGAATTCCGTGAAGTTGGAAGATAGTACAGAAATGCAGGATACAGGCTAGTGCTTTTGTGACTGCAGCATAGAAAAACATTTCTCTGTAATGAAAACTTAGCCATTCACACGTTCTGTTGATAGGTGTTATTCAGTGCATTTTTTAAGTAAAAATACTGCTTAGTTTGCATGTGAACACTTGTGTGCAGTTCAGTAATGTAGATGGAAACAGGAACTAAATGCTTTTGTGTCCCTTCTTAAGTCAGTGGTACAAGAAGCAGTAGATGCTTGCTTTCTGTGTTAGCCCTACTTATCCTATGGAATTTGCATAGCCCTAAATTTACATTTGAAGTCCTGTGGTTTTGTTGGGCTTTTTAGGTCTTGACTTTGTTTTAGACAGTAAGAATGTGACATAACTCTTAAGGGAGACCATTTTAACTGCATAAGGAGATCTGGAAACCTTCAATTTCTTATTGTTCCTCTTGAACATTAATTCTTGATTTTTCAGGAGAATGTTGTGAACCTGAATCTGGACATTTTAATATGGCATTTGTCCCTCTCCCCCTTCTCTATCAGTTCATTAGCTTGATTACGTATTTCTTCATTGCTTCTTTTTTCTTACATTTGAGCTTGTATGAACATTAGGAACTTGAGGAGGAGGAATTATACATTCATAGATTGTTTACTCATGCAGATGTGTTGCAATTACAAATAATACTTTTGCTGGCAGAAGATAAAAGTACCCTTTTAGTGGTTTTTGACTGGGCATATTTGGTGCTCTTTTCTGAACCACTGGCATTGTACTGATCTAGAAAACTTTTAAAATATGTTTAATGTTTACTTTTTAACTAGGGAACAAAGCCTGGGCAAGAAGGTGGAGTTGATCTTGGTATAGAAACTATTCAGTTTGGAGCCCCAGCTTCCAGTGGCAGTGACAATGAAGTTGTCCCTGTACTTTCTGAGAAGTCCACTGATAAGCTACCAGAGCCAAAAGAGCAAAGACAGAAACAGCCTCGGGCTGGACCCATCAAAGCACAAAAGGTAAAAGGTCCTATCTTTGGTACAAACTTTTAAACTTCAAGAAGTTCAGGCGAAAAGAGGTTACAAATAATGGAATAGAGTACTCCTTCAGTTAGGACTAAACTGATAAAAATTGCATTTCCCTTTTATATCTCCTAAAACAATCAACAAGTTGGTTCTTGGAAAGAAGACGGGGAATTCAGTTCAAGAAGCAGGTGTAAGTAAACAATATCCTCGCCTAGCAGAGTTTGTCCATTGATTCTGTGTTTGGAGAAAAGGACATGGCTAGAGCAGGGATGGGAGTACAGATGTGCAGTAGCTTTGTTGGGAGACTGGATGTGGTGGAGTGTTACAGTTTTGTTTTGTAGTTTGGGATTTTTGGTGTTTTCTTGAGTTTACTACACTCAGGCTTTGAGAGCAGTTTTGAAGCAAGTATCCTGTTTCTGCCCTGGCTACATCTACACAGTTTTCTCTGTTTCTTCCTGCCACCATGCCAGCCTCAGCCTCCTCCAAATGACGCACGGGGCCCTGCTTAGTTTTGTAGCCAGGTTACCAAGATGAGTAAAACATCAAGTTACAGGAAAGTAGTGTTTTGAGGAAAGGGAAGAATGTGGGGGCAACTAATTTGAAGTCTCAAATTCTAATGCCAATGTCTGGATAATTAATTAATTTTTTTGCAGCTAATCTAGGAAGACTAAATAGTTAATCAAATTTATCTCAACCTAAAAAAAAGTCACTTGCCCTTCAGAGATTTAGGCACTCCATTTGATCGTTATCGTCATCTTGTATTTCCGTTGCACTCATAAGGAGTAATGCTTTCACCTCCTGTCATTTAGATTACACTTGGTGATCTTTCAGGTTAATGAAATGTATTTTCCTGTTATTTCCACCTCCAGTGCATATTTATCTATGCATCGCTAGTACACAGCACCAGCTTCTTACTCCCAGAAAGAGATGGTTACAGCAGATGAACTTGGCTGGTGACTTAAAGAACTAGCTATTTCAATCCTTCTCAATGTCTGAGATTTGGCAGCAGTCCTGATGTAATTAAAGCCCTTTCTTTAGTTTTCTGGAAGACCGGGTGTTTCTTTTGTTGGTTGTGTTTGGATTGGTTTGGGCTTTTTTCCCCTAAAAAAGCTGTAATCTGAAAGTGCAGTCACGTACAGAATGAATTTAACTTCTACTGCATCAGGCACTTGGTGGGTATGTTGCAGTTCATGGTTTTTATTGCAAAACATAAAACTGATACTGCAGGGAAATAGGCAGTATTTAATACTGCTGGTGAATTGTAGTAACCCAGCACATTAAAACCCCATACCTCAGGTATACTAGCAACATGCTTAAAACTGCCCCTATGAAATCACTTAAAGATGCTGAGCCCTGAATTTAAATATATAGAGAGTTTACACTGAGTTTCTCTTTTCTTCTTCATTATAGCTATTAAAGACTCGTGTAGATCTTGTTGAAAGACAAATGTGTGACTAAATGGTAAATTCATTGGGGTTTAATATTTCTGTGTACTCTTCTGAATGAGAGGGCTGTAATCCTTTAACTGTCTTGCTGACGAGAAAAAAAGCCCAACAAACAGTTCCTACACACCCAGCACCCTCATTGTGATATTGTTCACTATGAAGCCTAAATACAAATTTATGTTTGAGACTGCAGGAGTGTTGAACTAATACAGGCAATGTAAGAGGACCATATGTGAAACAAAACCATTTACCTTTCCAAGTATGACCTTAGTGTCTGGAGAGATTTCTGCCTCTATAAATTGTTGGAGCAAAAAATACTTGGGTTGAGGTGGGTCTAATATTCCTGATGGCTGCATCACAGAGCTCAGGCATCTGCTTTTATTGTTCGTTTCTTCTTTCCCTCAGAAAGCTAGTCTCTGCTGACCTCCTGAGAGTACCAAATACCTCCAGGGAAAATCCAACCTCCCCAAAGCCCAAAGACACTGTATTGTAAAGAGTCTTCATCTAACTCCTGAAGCAGCTCATTGTATTTCTAGAGACAATACCAGTAGCTTTGCTTTTTCCACTGTCAAAGGAATGAGATTTTAAGGACTGCCTTTAAGGAATTTTTGAGCTGCTCTGTAGTGAATAGGGCTGACTAGTCTCAGCCAGAAAGGATGTGGCAGAGCATTCAGGTTCCCTGAGGTCCTTCATTCTGCTTTAATTCAGCTGTACAAAAAGGAACTACTGAATTGCAGCAGTTATTCCAGCCATGGTGTCTCTGCAATATCAGGCAACACTTGCGTGTAGGTGTTTCATTTTTCCTGGCTATCCCCTTAGAGCTCAGTTCCTAGGAAAAAATGCTGCCAACATCCTTACATCAGGATATCTTTAAGTGAAGTTAGAGTCTTCTGTTCTAGTTCCCTGGGGCCCTGCAAAATCATGATTCTCTGAAAATTTAAATAACCTGTATGTTTATGAAGTCTTGTGGCTTTTATACTTTGTTGTGCTTCTCTTTTAAGGAGAGTCAAGCTGGCTTTCTGCTATAGGTTTTAACTAGATCTTTAGTTGAAGTCTGTCACTTCACATGAAACATGTATTGTTTGTAAACAAGAGTTTAGATTCTTAATGTTAAAAATGAATGCATTTCATGCATATTGCTAACTTAGCCTCAAATTATTTATCTGTTAGAAAATGCTTATTCTTCAGAAAAGTTTTGTCAAAATTATTTTAAGCATGTTAAAATATTCTTGTGGAATAGGACACAGAGGGGGAGAAATAACTGACAAGTTAACACTAACTTAGCTTCCAGACTTGAGTCCAGTAGAAAACAAAGAATATAAACCTGGTCCTATTGGGAAAGAGCGTTCTTTAAAGAACAGGAAGGTGAAGGATGCCCAACAGGGAGAGCCTGAGGGACAGGAGAAGCCATCTCCCACCTCTGTCAGAAGTCCAGAGCCTGTCGCTACAAAGGAAACCAAAGCAGCAAGTGAACTAAGCACGGAAATAGGAACGATGATATCTGTGTCTGCTCCAGAGTTTGGAACAAACACAAAGGTAAGAAAAATACAGCCACATTACTGAGCACTATATATAAAGTGTTGCTACAGTGATGTAGTTTACATCTGGTTGTGTGCTGGTGGTTCCTGGACAGCAGAGCCCACTGAATAGCAGATGTGAAACATAGTGGTACTGCTTGAATTAAACAGTTTGCCAGAAGTGGTACAGAGACATGCTGTTTTCATGCCCCTGTATAAAGATCAGCTTGGAAGGTTTTAAAACTTTTTTTTTGCTGCCTTATGAATGTGGAATCTCTGTCCTGAGCCGTGCTGCAGAGAGTAGTGCTGGAGCCTGGTATAGGCAGATTCTGTAAACTCACATGTATGTGATACATGCAGGATGAGTGCTTGATTTTAGCACAGAACTGGAGTAGTGTGTGCAATCATTGGCTGAGTGCATGGGTGAATTGAAGCTGTGAATTAAGTGCTGTTCTGTGAAAAAAAGAAATCTCTAAAGTTAAAGTGTTGGATAAGGCTTGCTTGGTTACCTAAAAGGTCTGTGTGTCAGCTCCTGTTGTCTTGGATATTGTGAAGGTACCACTTGCAGAACTCTTTCAGGATTTGAGGACTCTGTTATCTGCATGGAACTACCCTGCCTTCTCTGACTGCTCAACAGTGAGATGGTGACTTGCTGTCAGGATTCATTGTTCTACAGCTCAGTTTTTAGCTGTGGTGCATTGATAGCACTGGCATAAAAACATCCACAGAGGTGCTCTCCTTTTTGCCTGAAGACCAGTGCAGGGACTGCCTTCACTGCAGCACCATTGTGTTGAGAAGAACTAGTAGCTGTCATCTCTCAAATGTAAAGAAACTGCAGTTTGACCAGCTACTAGTTAATAGTTACACCTGCTTTGGTGAAAGAAAAATGTGGTTTTTTGTGCTTTTAAAGCAGTTTTGTGAGTTTAGGCTCGAGTTTGCTGCATGCTGTTTCAATCTTCCTTCTCCTAGTCTTAAGCAGAAATTTCCTGATGCCATTTAGGAAAACTGATCCTCTGCAGAAGTTGCATTTATTGTTAAAGGAGTCTGAAATGCACATCACTTACAATTTATCTTTGTCATTGCGGGGGGAGGAAAGACAGTTTTGGATTTTCTTTTGCCAAGGTGTCATGCAAGCAGACGGTGCTATCTCAGTGAAGTGTTACAGAGCAGGTGTTAAGGCAGATGCTTGTGTCCAACATGGTAGGTGCAAACTTGATTTTTGAGTTGAATGGCAAATATGTAAAAAAAATCAGTGCTGGGATTTCCCATCTTCCACCATAGTTTCCATCTTGTAAGTAGATGTGAAGGGTTTATATTGGTACCGGAAACAGATAAAGTGCCCCTCTTAGATGCAGGATCAGAAATGTAGAGCTGTCAACACCAGCTTGCTCAAATATTTGGTAACAGGGCTCTTTGTAGGTGTCATGTTCTTTCTCACTGTCTTTCAAGCTCCTGTTACCAGAGCTCAAGATCAGAGGAGATGCTTCTTCTAAGTCACGTACAGAATAGGAAACATATCTTTGTTGATTACTCCAGGCTAACTGGATATACAGTAGCTCTGCTAAAATCAGCGTAATTTCCACACTGCAGTTGTGTTTTTGATGTATGAGATCTTCAAAAGGGAAGTCTGGATTTTGTGCCTTTCTGGCCTTAGGACTGCCACAGTATCAAAGTGCCACGCTTCTGTCTTCCGGAGAGAAGACCAGAATGAAAGGAAATCTTCCAGTTTGTGCTGGGCATGAAAATTCCCAGTAATTTCTTCATTAAGTGGTTGCTAATAGGATCACTTAATAATAGGCCTAAATATTCCTGCCTCAACCGTTTCAGATTTGCTTTTGAATTAGTTTGTCATGAGTAGTTCCAGGGGCATCAGCAAGTTTTTTTTCTATGAAAGAGTTGGGTCGTCAGTCATATTTTGTATTCTGTGGAAGTTGAACCAACAACCTGGAGATTGGATAAGATAAGCTTCATCTACATACTGCAGGAATAAACCAGTCGCTACTTTTTAAAATGTCTTCTAAAATGGGTGCAAATACTGTTCTGGCCTTGGAGTTCCTGTAATCATTTGTGTTACAACTGCTTTCTCTTGTCTTTGTACTCTGTAGCGTTCATTAATGAGGGAAGAAGTGATGACATCTTTAACCTGATGTTCCAATGTCAAGTGTTGGAAGTTGTAGCAAACCTAAATGATTTCTCTTTTGACACTCTTCAATGCTCTTTTCAGAGACTGCTGCTCAGCTTTCAGGAAGGCACACTTTCTTTAGTGTGTTTGGTGATTTAAATGTCTGTAGAAGTCAAGCCAACTGTCCTTCAGAAACAGAAGTTTTGTAAGAGAACTGTGTCCATCCCAGAACAAGCATCTTAAAATCATGTGCATTTAATCATACAAAACTGCTTTACCTTAGCAACTGTATAAATAGAAATCAGCTCATACAGGGGAGATGTTTAAGTTTAGAACGTAAGCATGATGCTCCAAAGCAATTGCAGCTGTCTCTTGGGTTTTGCAGTTATGTTTTGCAGTAATGGCAATCTGACATGTAAAGTCTTTGAACTGGGTAAAACACCTTACCTATGCCTTTTCCCACCCTACCATGCCTGAGGTTCTGAATCTTTCAAATCACAGGAACAGTGAATAATACCTGATTACAGACATGGCAGTGAAATGTTTCACAGGGAGTTTGTAACAGTCTTACAGAGATGCTTCTAAAAGCACAAAGGCTGTACTTGAGAATAAATTTAGAGTGTCTTGGATGATTTATGTAAATCAGGAACAAATCAATAGCTAATTAATCCCATATAAAACACTGATCCTTTATAGCAAGGTCAGCTCTGAGGTCTGCCTTGTCCTTTTGTTCATAGTCACTTCAGGCTTTGTGATCTCTTTTTCTGGGGCAGAGTAGGTAGTTACTAAAAGCTTGCCTGTGCTTTTTCTTCAGGTATAAGTAACTTGCAGATAACTCCAAAAAAGCATGTGCAGGTTTTTTGTTCTACCTATTATTACTGTTACTGGTTTATAATAATCAGTTGGTTTCTTCAGTAAAACAGTTGTAGAGGAGAATCACTTTAATTGAATTACAGAAGCTTATGGTGATAAACAATATCTAACAGAGATTCCTAGACATAGGCAAATGAAGGATTGTGCTTAAACTACAGTTCTGGTGGCTAAACCGCTGTCTTACCTGCATGTTCAGCATGTGAGCAGTCCTTACAGGATGGTTCAGCATTGTACATATACTTCTAAAGGTGTCAGAGTTGATATGGTGGTTCGGTTTTAATTCTACTGAAAAAGCAGTTTTATGCGGTACATTTCCAAAGTGAGAAAGTTAGCAGTACTTTGATCTGATTTCTTTTGTAAGTAATCTTGGTGCTGAGACCTTGTAAAAATTGCATCCAGACCTTGAAGGAATTTGAATAATGTTTTAGCTTGTCCTATTCTACCAAAGTGAGCTCATCCTTTAAAGGAAGATTCTTTGTTAGAATCTTAGTGCTTTAATTGCTCTTTTAGGAGGCATTGGCTTAGACTTGAGCAATAAATTGAGTGTGTTCTTTTTTAGTGGTTTTCCATCATACTGCTTGGGTGCAGTTAAACAAGCATTTTGTGGTTTGTGCCTTCAGAATCATGTGTTGGAAAGTCCAGGCACTCATCAGCAGTTCTGCTGCTAATCTGTTCTTCAGTTACTTCGTGGTGTTTGATTCTGTAAAAATGATGGAGCGTTTTCTGGACTTCAGACATGGAAAACTTTGGAGATTGCAGTGCTTCTAGAGAGTGGATCTTGGCTAGTTCAGTGTCACACTGTTTGTCTAACAAAGTTTCTGGATCAGGTTCTGGTAACACCTGTTTGCCTGTCCAGAATATGCTCAGTAGATATCCAGTGATAAGAAATAAAACCCAGTGTTTGAGATGACTTTACAGAAGTACCAGTGCCTTTCTGTTCATTGTAGGTCATTCTCTAGATAGCTGACAGTGTTATCAATGAGACACTTTGACACGCAGTTTATACTCGCAGCTGAAATGGCCACTGGCTACAGCTAGGTCCATGAAACTGGAGCTTGTTCATTGAGCATATTAACGTCAACTTACACTGTGACAAATAAACTTCAAGGAAAGCCTCTGGGTAGATGGGAAACTTCAGTTCTTTTCTTCTTGGAATTGCTGCCTAGTGCAGAAATCAGTAGACTTCACCATCCAGAGAAACTGACTTGTGACTTTCAGAGAGAAGACTTAAAGGAAGAAAAATTGTTTTGCAAATTGCAGCCATTCCCGTGTCTTCTTTTTAATCTGGAAGGCCTTGCTTGTCATTGGTTTACCCAAGAAATTTCTCTATTTTAAGCTGCAGAAAGCTTTCAGCTAATAAATTTTACTTTTTAAATAGGCTAGAAATGCCTACAGATGGCTAATCAGTTACACTACAACAGTTCGGTGCCTAGTGTCCAGGTAGTACTTCGCTCTGTATATTCTTGCTTTACAGATTGTATTTTGGCTTGTCTCCAGACGTACATTATGAGGTCATGAGGCAAACTGTAATCTCCCAAGAATTCTTCTGACCTCATTAGCAGTTCAGCAATAAAAATTGCTGGATATGCCTTCTAAGAAAAGAAAAGATATGAAATTCTAATCTTCTGTTGCCTGGTGAACTCCTCCTGTAGAAAGGCTGACATCTGTCCAAGAAATTGAACTCTTAATTTAGGTAAGGGAGATATTTTAATGGAATTATTTTTCTTCACAGGAGTCTGTAACAGACTACACTACACCTTCTTCTCATCCTAACACAATGGCTACTAGCAGTACAAAAATGGAGGAGACTTTGGTGACGAACGTAAGTCTATTGCAGTGATCATCTTGACTTTGAAGACAAGAAAATATTTTCACACTTTAAAGCACAAAATAGTGCCTTCAGTAAACAAGTCACTAGGGTTTCTTTCATGTTAACTAGAGTTGCATTGCTCAGTAATCTTACTCTGAAGCAGATTTGGTTTTGATTAGTATCTCTTCTGGAATTCCTCAGGTATTTTCTTGCCTTCTGATCAGCCAAAATGGGCTAAAGAGCACAGAAAGTGGAGATGTTTCTTTTTTTTCTGAAAAAAAGAAAAAAAAGCTAAAAGGTAGGCCTAAATGAGGAAGTGTGCTCTCAGCAGCACTTGGGACTTGAATCTAGTACCAGTAGCAAAGCCCTGTAGGTGAGTTTGAAGAAAGGCTTTTACAAACGGGGCAGTTCTGATCTGTAGCCAGAAATCACAGCAGCTGCATGTAAAGGGAGCAGCTTCAGTAGGCTTTCAGTTGATCTGTTGCTATGGAGATGAGATGTTCAAAGTCCTCATAAAACCAGTGATCCTGGCTGTGAGCATAGTGTAACGATTGAGAGGACCAACTGGGTTATGGCTTGCAGTGAAATCAAGTTTGTCTTGAGTGTGCTCGGATGTCAGGGAGCTTGGACCTTGTGATATTTGTTGGTTTGAGTAGCAGAAATAGAATTACAGCTCAGAGTTGAGTCAGTTGTTGATTGAGGAAAGAAAGAATCATACAGTAGCATCTCAGGTTTTTATGAAGATGCTTTTCAGCTTACTGCAGCATCCTTTAAAGCCATTTGGAAGCAATACTGGTTGAACTTTTCTGCTGGGTTTTCTGGTGGTGTGGTTTCTGTCTTTGGTGGTTAGTGTGGAAGACTGAATTCTTTTGTGTTAATGATGTTAGTGTGGGCTCCCCTGTGGGGTGTTGGAGTTTGATTTCCAGCACAGAATATGGGGGCTTCTGGCACATAGGATCTGTGCTATTACCTGCTTCAAAGCTTTAATTTCTATGTCTTTTGGATGAGCCTTATCTCATCCAGCAGAAGTCCATTAGGTATGCTCTGAATGGAGAACAAAATGGTTAGAAGTAACAGACTGGCCACTGGAGTATTTTTTATCCACTTCATTTAAAACTTCTAGGAAATCAGTAAGTGTTTTCTTAGGCAATGAGAGCAATAGCATTATGTCAGGTTTATTTCCTTAAGTTTCACATCTTTCATCTTTCGAAAGAGAAGAAAACTGAATTCAGTTATTGGATGGCAAATCCATTTTGGTTTGTTTCATGGTCCTGTGACTTTGGAGGTTTATAGCTTCCTCTTTTCAGAAACTGAATCTTGGAACTCAAGGTCATGGCACCCCATGTACTGTATTTGTACAAAAGGGGACAAACCTGTCTTGAAGAATTTTTCATATCAGTAAACTGAAAATATACTTTAAATCCCAAAGCAGAAAATTGGTATTTGTTTATGCAGAAGACATGGACATTTTAGAACCTTAGTCTTCATTCAGCCTTTTAAAGAGAGATGACAAGCATCTCAGAATGGCCTTTCTGAATGGCCTTTCCCCACCTACCAGATTTTTACCTTATTTTATCAAAATCTCCCTGCAAAATGCTCAAGCCTTGAAGAAATTGTAGCTCACTTAATAAAGCTTGAGCTTTGCTTTTCTGGGGCTTTTGTAGTAGACATAGTTAGAATGTGATGTGTGTTGCCTGCCTTTCAGGTGCCCCTGCCCCACACCCTTCCCCTCCCTAGGAGGGAGACTCTACAACAGAGCTCCAGCCTAACTCCAGTTTCTCCCGCTACCGTCGACCTCACCCTCAAGGTATGTACCACATCCCTCTAAGGGTCGTTTTCTTGCATGCAGGGGAAAAAGTTAATGGAGAACTTGCTGGTGAACCTTTTTTTTTTTTTTTTCTCTCAAGAGCCTTCCTTTTATTTCCTCTGCTGAACTGCTTTTGCATATAAATGGATGGCTGGAACACAAGACTATCAAAGGATGCATTTAAATTATAAATCTCTAACCCCGTTTTGCATTAACACTTGGCATCTCAACCAATCTTGGCTCCAAATGCCCTGAAAAAAAAAATCGTAGTATTTTAGCATTGTACAATAGTGTTCATGACAAACCATCAGAATCTGACTGAGGGTTTTTGAGAGTTTAGCTGAAAGTAAGTTGCCTGGTTTAGTATTGAAGGCTGTAAGGAGTTGCTGGGTAAGCCAAACTTGATTTCTATTATCTGTAAGATTTTGGAGCAGGCTTAATGTGGTATTGAGTTGAATGGCCAAAGTTCTGAATAATGAGATGTAGGTGGTATGTTGATGTCTCTGAAGGGCAGCTTGATCAGCTAGTCAGAATGTGTTTTCTTGTGCTGTGTTATGTTGTTTTTTGCTCTCCAGCATAGAGCAGGTATGTAGAATATTTTGAATTATTTTCCTATTTTGTTGGATTTTGGACTGTGTGCATTGTATAACTCACTAACATAGAGTTGGACTCTAGCTTTTGCTACTGTATCTCTAGAAGGTTTTGGTCCTTTTGGGTTTTTTTTTTTTTGTTTTGGTGTCCTAGATCTGTCCGTGATTGTGACCACAGGTGACTGAACCAGTAGAAATACTGTTGCTGCTTCTGGTATTAAGGAAGAGTGATGTCTGAACTTAGTTTCTCTAATTTTTGAAAAGAGGAAATGAAACTAGGGATTGGAGGAGAAGCTTGGTTGTCAGTCCCAGTGAGACTTGTGTCTCACTGGCATGATTTGACAGCTGCTTGCTAGTGTTCTCTACAGATGATAGTTATTAATGATCTCTTGTTGAATCTTTGCTTTTCTTTTTTTAACACTTTATTTCCTGAAAAAAAAAAAAGTTACTTTAAAACAGTAGACCAGCAAAAATGGGAGATGGCTGGAGAGGGACAAGTAGTTTAACAAAAATTTGGTTTTCTATTGCATTCTTTTTTAAGAAATTACCATAATCTGACTTTCTGGCGCCTGAAAGCATTTTTTGAAAATAGCACTTTCTAACTAGCAGCTGGATATCTGATTCACATGTAATACAGGTAGGAATGTTACTATAGCATGATCCTGCAAAGAATGTGACACTGCTTGGTTAGAAAGCAAACCGTGGTGTTTGTGTCATTCATCCTACAGTTTCTTTTTCTGCTGTTCTGGTGTTAGTGATTTGATCGCCTTCTCAGTCAATGACAGGTTTTGGATGCGTGCTAACAAAGTATGTCAAAGATCCATGTTTTGAGGCTGCCTTGAAGAACACTGACCAGAATGTGAATGGAAAGGCATTTGGAAGCAGCATTATCTCTGATTTCTCTATTCCAGCCATTGGAGCTCTACCTCCTTTTTGCAGACACTGAAGGCAAAAAAGCTTGTTTTGAAGCGCACACTAAGACTATCTTGTGGTCCAGACAGAGCAGAGCTGCTCTTTGTGTTTTCCTCTTCAATATAATGATTGCTTCTTTTAAAAAATACTTCTGGTGCAGCAGAGAGGAAAGGTTTTCCATCATTCTTTTAAAAGAACCAAATCTCCAGGCTCTGCCTCCATAAAGGAATAATTCTTGCCCCTCCTTTTTCCTCAGTCTCCTATCAATGGAAAGCTCTTTGTGAGGAGACTTAGCAGGGGAACTGAGCCACAGTTGCTCCCACCGCTTGACATCATTCTGACAGTGTGTAGGTATGAGGCAGTCTCATTGGGAAGGCTTGTTGAGATCTCTTGCTTCCTCGGAGTAGCTTTGCTAAACACACCTTTACCAAGGCAGACATCCTCTTAAGGACTTAGTTGATGGGGCTATTGGTAGGTAAGGAGCTGAGCAAACTTAAATTCAAAGCAATCTTAAACTGAGCAGCTGGGCTCTCTTTGACATTCTGAGGTTCTACATAAATTCCTGTATACAAATCTGGTCTAGAATCTGACATGTTTTGACTTTCTTTTTCTGGTCACTTAAACCTTGTCATGCTTAAGGATGTGCACATTGGTATTTGTCTCCAGCTAAGTTTTGGGGTAATACATACTGGACTGTCATTGCAATGTGAAGGCCCCATTGGGTCAACAGTGAAGAGGAGCCTCAAGCAACTGTGATCTCCAACTAGTGCTCTTGTTCTCCCATAACTAAGCAAACAGTGAAACTATACATACCACTGTCCTCAGCCTCACTTAATTTAAAGCCTCTTACTCCATATCTGGTCTGTAGATGGTGCTGCATAGGCACTCTTAACAGTACCAGTCTCTTTTACATCTTTTTTTCTGGCATAAGAAGTTAGAGATTGTAAGGAGTTCTCTGAAAGCAAAGCTGCTAGAAAACTCAGAACCATCTTATATGCTCTTTAATAAAAATTTGAAAATGGAAGACAAAAGTCAGTGTGTAGGTTAACTTTTACTATGAATAATTTCTCCCAAACATCATGAAATTCACTGAACATAATATAAGCTTCTGCACTTTTTCTCTGTGCAGACATTCACAGCTATTTCTTCACTTCCTCTTGATACTAGTGCAGTACAACACTTCACTCTGTCTTGCCAGAGCCTGTGATGTTCAGAAAGGAGCTTGTAGTCTTGCCTGTACTCCACCTTCAGCAAAATTCAGCAGATTAATAATCAGTTCTGAAGTTTGCCCTGTCTGCAAGAATTTGAACCAGTTTGGAGGAAAATATTGTGGAGGGGAAACTGAGAATGACTTTGTGTAACAAAGTCTTCATCCTTACTCTTTATTCTCTTGAGGAATACAGAACTCCACTTTCTGCATGGAAAAGTACTGGTCACCTGTTACCCACTTCTTTTGAGATAGCTTTATTTTTTTTATCACTTCTGAAGCATCTACACAAATATCCTAAGTCATGTTTGGTCTGTCCCTGTGCCTAACTCATGCAAAACAGGGTAGGTTAAAAGTATGACTTTGAGTGACTGCAAATCCCCGTTAGGGGGCTCTGTTGATCCAAGGTCAGACTTGGTGAGTATGTATTTGTCCCTTTACATATACTGTTAAAGACAGAACCTGGCCTTGAGAAGCTTATAGTCACCAGATGAGCGATTTTAGCCTATGGCATCCACCTCTGCTAGCAAAACCTTTTCTTTGCCTGGGTGCAGCTGAAGGTTGTAGAGAAGTCCGTGGACTGTGTTTGAGCCTTTAAATTAGTGAGTGTGGTCTGAACGTTAATATTTCCTTTTCAGTAGTCATTCAGCATTGTCTCAGTTCAGATTTGGCATTGCTTGTCTAATGTAGCAATAATTAGGTTATTGGCTGCAGTAAACCAGTAGTTCTTTCCACTTTTGGTGGAAGATAATTGTGTATAAAATACTTAAAATGGAGCTTCATCTTCATTGTCGCAGAAGACTTAAACTCAGAATTATTGCAGAAATAAGGAGCATGAAGCATTCTTAGCATTCATGTAAAGCACTGTGCACAAGCTGTGTCAGCTTGTGATTGCTTTTCGAACAAGCAGATGCTTTGAGAATCTAAATTCGACTACTCATGTTTACTGAAATAAGTGTTAGATATTTTTGGTGGTCACGCAAAGTGGATGATTTACCAAGAAAGCAAGGGGCCGTTTCATTTAAATGGCCCAATTAACTTGTAAGTAAGGATTTAATGGAAATATGTAGAGGTTTCTTACCTTTCTTTTGCTGACTGTGCCTTTTGCTCTTCATGTCAAACAAAACCAAGCCAAATTAGTGTGAGTGAATTCTCTTTTGAGCGTTGAATGTTAAGACAGTGAACTGTGCACATGTGCAGTTGGGGCAGATAAGAAGCTCCAGCCTAAGGCTGTATGCTTTTTGCATGAACAGAGTTGCACGATCGTAGTGACTTTTTAAAAAGAGGCTCGCATGAAGCCTGAATTGCCTTTTGAACTAAGAAGGACTGTTAAAAAGATGACGACTGCTTGACTAGTTGAAACTTCCTAATAAATGAGAAAATTTATTTTCTTTTAAACAGATGGAGTCTGCGCGCAAAGCATGGGAGAATTCCCCAAACATGGGGGATAAGAGTTCGCCAGTGACCTCAGCAGCATCTCCCATTGCTGGTGGCAGTGGCAGTAGCAGCAACAGCAGCAGCAACACAGGGCCAAGCAGTGGTACTTACAGCTCTTTCTCTAGTGCATCAATGCCTCCTATACCTGTGGCCTCAGTCACACCAACAACTTCACTTTCAGGTACCAGAAGTCAAGGTTATAGTATCCTGTTGTACTGTTTCTTGGTTATGTTTTTCAAGAGATTAGATTCCCTTTGGAATTATGTTCTGTGCAAAGCTAACAGAAGTTTTACACTAGTATTAATTGTTGGATCTGAACAGCAGCTTCCCAGATACATTTTGAACAAGGTAATAATTCACCTGTTTCAGTCAGTTGTGTAGAATACTAAGATATCTCTCCACCTATGCTACTTACATGGACTTGAAACAGGAGGTAAACTTACACTGTTGGCTGCCTTATTCGTTTTACTTTGTTCAGCTGAACAAAGGCAAGCAAGTTGATTTTTCAAGCAGATGGTAGTTCTGATATCCAGCTAATAGCGGTCTTACTTTCATTTTTGCTTTTGAAGTCAAAGCTTTGACAGATCATACCAAAGCCCCTATGCAATAGGCAGAGCAAATGTCCAGCTGCTCTTCGCAAGCAGCTCTGATTTCCACCTTGGTTCTTCACAGCAAACAAAAGTCTGATGACTGCAGAAAGACGAGGCTTTGAAATATTTTTAGCTGGTATGTGACTTATCAAAATTTATTGTTGATTTATTGTTTCTCCTAGGAGCTGGAACATATACAACCTCTTCACTGAGTACAAAGACTGCAAGCACCTCAGACCCTCCTAATATATGTAAAGTGAAACCACAGCAGTTGCAGACAAGCAGCCTAGCTTCTGCCAGTCACTTTTCCCAGCTGAGCTGCATGCCATCCCTCATTGCCCAGCAACAGCAAAGTTCCCAAGTCTATGTGTCTCAGTCCGCAGCAGGTAATAGTGTTTGTGGCCAAGAAGCCACGAGTCTGGGTTTTTTTCGAGTTTTGAAGCTTGAAAGTTGACTTCAGTTCTGGTTTTATCTGCAGTAAAAACAAAATGACGGAGAGCATTCTGTAAGCAAATACTAATTGTGTCTTATGCTAAATATGCAAGTTCTATTGGTAAATATAAAGATAATGCTGTGTTGTTAGTTTGTTGAGGAAAGTAATTTTGAATCTTTTAGTGTATCATTTTTCTGTCCCAGAATTGTAAATCACTGTTTTTAAGACCAAGAATGATTTAGTCTTGACTTCTTAAAGTGCTGCAATAATTTAGAATCATGTCTTTTCTCTTGAAAGAAAACTCTACATATAGTTAATCTAAATTACATGACAGTATAGCATGTTCTTTCCATTCCTTCACCTGAATGCCAGTTTTGGCCAGGAGCTAGTGCTCATCCCCCAGGAACTGAACAGGGGCTGGAGATCCATATGCAAGACCAATAGATCCTTGGGGGTGAATCTGAAAAGATACCAAAGCTGGTTAAGTGCCTAGCTCTTCAGTTGTGCTTCTTCTCCAAGTCTGTCTGGTACCTGTCACACTGGGAAGTGCCAGCAGTGGCTGCATCACTAATTCTTGATGAAAACCTTTGTAGCAGGGAGATGTTTGGAATCAGGTACTAACTCTATTGCTTTTCCTGAGGTACTGCAGCTCAAATCCCAGCATTTTATATGGATACAAGTCATCTATTCAATACTCAACATGCACGTTTGGCACCACCTTCTCTGGCTCAACAGCAAGGCTTTCAACCAGGACTTTCTCAGGTATTTGGAGATTTCTTATTTCTTTTGTTCCCCATCCTTGTCCATATTGCATTTAAAGCTCTACTAATGAGCTAATTGGGGCAGGGGAGAGTTGGGACTAAAGGCTGCAAAAATGAGGTCATGCTTACTGTTGCTATTTCATTTTGGTGCATGCAGGCAGTGTTTGATCTCTTCTGTTCCTGAGAACGAAAGCATTTGTCCTGAAAGTTGAGAGAACAAGCTTTCACTCACAAATACATTTTATCTAAAAGTACATATTCAGTGGAGGTGTTTATTTGGCCATGTTAGTGCAGGCTTATTCAACTTCTGTAGTACAGAATTGCATGCAGCCTTGTGCAGTTGTTTGGTACACAAATCTAAATGATTGATTCAGTTTCTGCTGGTTATTTGCAAGGAAAAGTGTAAAATCTAACTAGAAAGTAATTTTCTGAATGGGAGCAACACCAGCTCTGCTTGCAGCTTTGGGATTTGAAGTTTTCTGTTTACTTTGTATAATGTTAACACAAATCCTAGCACACATTTAACTGTAGCTTTTCTGCATTACTTTTGTCCTTGGGATATTGAATGGTTTCTTTTTTACACAGCCTGCTTCAGTTCAGCAGATCCCCATCCCCATCTATGCACCTCTACAAGGACAGCATCAAGCTCAGCTGAGTTTAGGAGCAGCACCAGCTGTATCACAAGCCCAAGAGTTGTTCAACTCATCCTTACAACCATATAGGTAGGTAGCATAAATGAATTTATTTGGGTTTTGAGAGGCAGAATTTATAGAACTCGCTTCTCTGCAGACCTGTGTTCAATAGCTGCCTCATCTTCTCATTTTCCGCAAAATGCCTTGTCTGTTTGCCTGAGAACTCTGTATGTGGATTGTCTGGCTAGTTTTCATGTGTAGATGTAGTTATGAAATCATTGGTTCAAGAATTACACATGATATTTTGTATCTTTAGGAAACCAAACTAAGAAGTTGAAAGTATCAGTCAATCATACGAAGAGAATAAAAAAAAAGGGAGGGGAGAATTTGTCCCTTTAATTCAAAAATTCTTTATTTTCTAATCAAACAAATGTTGTAGCCTTGAAACACTTTGAAATCCTAGTTTGAACCCCATAGGTGGTAGAAACTTAATTTCAGATGTGCAGGGTATGTTTTAGAATAAATGTTTTCTGTTTGCTGCAGAAGATAATAGGAAGACAAGTATTGAAATGGCCTTTCCAAAAGCTTCCTTGCAGTTCCTGTCATTTCTGATTCACAGTGGTGTAATTCTGACAAATGTTGTTAGTTTTACTTTGAGAAAGTTTCTTTGAAAATATAATTACAGGGTTTGCATGTGCTGTCGAAAAACCTGCTTGTTGCAATGCAGAAGGCTGAAGCCACAGAAGTTTTAATTGACTACATGTGTATCCTGACTCTGTGCTTGGCTGACTTTGGACCAAATATTGCTTGTCCTGCCACAGCTGACAGAAGTTGTTGCAAACAGTTGACTAGTTAAAGAAATACAATCAGTCTGGCATGTGGTCCAGATTATATAAACACTGCTGGCTGATCTGGTCACACACAAACCCAGTATTTAATGGAGTTTTGGGTTGTGCTATTTATGAGTATGAATACTTCCCTACATCATTAAAGGTGCAGAGGAGGATAGGCTTTGAGATACATAGGTTACTGGATTTAAAAAAAAAAAGCTTTTGGGGATCTCTTTGGCTACATTGACAAGAGGCCCCTGCATAGGTTCTGGGAAAGTTTCTGCAGTGCTCAGAGTGTAGCTGTTCTGCAATTAAGGAAAGGTACGGAGCAAAGCTAACCTGGGTGTTCCATTGGGCAAATACATAGCCACTATGCTACTAGATTAACAGGACCCGTGTTATGCTGATGCATATAGAGTAAGTGATAAAGTGAAAAGTTTTGAAAGGGCCACTTATTAAAAAACTTAATTCTTCAGTCTGAAGGTGGCTGCTCAGTAGGCTCTTAAAAGAAATGTTTGGATAGATCTTCTGTTGGACTAAACCAAACCTGTTTATGGTGCTTTGCTGTACCGTGTATGGGGTTGGAGGGAGGGGTTAAACAAACTACAGCTTCCCCATGATGGTGATAAGGGAATTGAATATCTGGTTAAAAGTAAAGGCTGTGTTGTCTGTGCTACTATTTTTAAGTCAAAACATTCGTTTGGAAGCTACAATTGTCATCATTCAGTGATTTAACCTGTAAATATTAAAAGCTGGTCTACCAAGATATGTGAACAAAGCAGTTTATGACTAAGTGGAACTATTCACATGTGGTACTTCCCCACAGTCCTACCTTACAGCAGAGGAACTCAGAACTGGTAGTTTCTGTATGTTCTGTTAAATTGTGCACACTAAAATAATTTTTGCATATCTAAATAGCCAAGTGTACTTTAAGATTTAAATAAAAGCCTAGCCATCATTTGCTGTGGCTTTAGTAGCACCCATTATTTTGTTGCGTGCAAAGTACATAGAAAAAACCCTACCTGTCTCAGGTGAAGATCTGTCCAGTAGAGCTAAGTGGTTTAATTCCATTTAAAGGATATAACCTATGTTTTTAATTTTTAGTGGCTCATTGTTGAGCTCTGTCTGTGTTTTTATGTGTAATACTTCAATTCCCTACAGATCCCAGCAAGCTTTTATGCAAAGTGGTTTGTCTCAGCCATCGCCAGTAGTTCTGTCTGGTACAGCCTTACACAACTTCCCGGCAGTACAACACCAGGAACTTGCTAAGGCACAGTCAAGCCTGGCATTTCAACAGACTTCTAATACACAACCTATTCCTATCTTGTATGAACATCAACTTAGTCAAGCTTCAGGACTGGGAGGCTCTCAGCTGATTGATACGCATATTCTCCAGGTAGGAAATGCTCCAAAATGCAAAACTTCTGCAGTAGTTCGATACAGATACTGTAATAATAAATCAGTTATTGCTCATCTTGGGATAAGCCCAACTCTGGTAATTACATGATCATCAAGGTGGCAGGAAACCTAAGATTGTTGGAAGAGAATGTTCATTTAATTTCATAATGGTATATTAGCATAATCTCTGAATGGAGGATTATTCTGCAAACTACAGGCCTCCTTGCATTTCATAGAATCACAGAATAGTTAGGGCTGGAAAGGACCTTAAGAGCATCTAGTTCCATCCCCCCTGCCATGAGCAGGGACATGTCACACTAAACCATGCCACCCAAGGCTTCGTCCAGCCTGGCCTTGAACACTGCCAGGGATGGAGCATTCACAACCTCCCTGGGCAACCCATTCCAGTGCCTCACCACCCTAACAGGAAAGAATTTCTTCCTTATATCCAATCTATTTCAGTTACTAACAGGAGCTTCGGGTTTAATTTCTGTTATAGCAGATGATTAAAAGGCAGTTATACCATTTGCAAATGACAACTGAAACCTTCAGGTTGTCAGCTTCCTATGCTGTGTTTTCAGCTGTACTGGCTGAAATAACAGAATGATGTGTCATACTGTCTCAGAACTGCTCTCCTGAGTGTTCTTAATCTATGGTGTGTCTCACTCTTCCTAGGCCAGAGCTACACTCACTCAAGCTTCAAATCTGTACTCTGGGCAAGTTCAACAGCCTGGCCAGAGCAATTTCTACAACACTGCACAGTCTCCCAGTGCTCTCCAGCAGGTAAACTGTGGCATGGTAAATTTCCTAAATTGTATTCTTCTTAAAAGCATGTTGTTGATGGTGGATTTTGTGGCATGGGGGTGGATGTGGGGCTGAGACAATCTTTAATTCTTCCAAAATTGATAGCTAAGGAGAACTATTACAGCAGCACTAAAAAACTGAATTGCTGAGAAGTTGGATGGCCTACAAGTTCTCGTTGATCATTTGTCATCTTTCTCTTAAATAGTTCATTTTCCAGTGCCAGGCAAAAATTCAGTTGGTATAGTGATGTTGCTAATTGACTGAGGCATATACTGCCTTTATGAGGACAGGTATCACTGATGGCATCTAGAGAGAGACAGACAAACTCCATATGCTTAGCGCAGCCTAATTGTTAACATCAAATCTGATTGAGATGGAACTTCAGAGCTGCTGCATATGGCAGTGATACCATATATACAGAAAAAAAAAAGTCAGCAGACAGATGATCATACATGCAAACAAGAGGGCCAAGTCAGTAACCATTAACCTACATCAGGAGGTTTGTAAAGTAAACTCTAGTGAATTTTAATATTTTTTTAAATTCTTTTGTGAAAGAACTGCTAATTTGATGTGTGCAAGGAGTCTGTTGTATTCACAGGATGCTGTCGAGTGGTTTCCATCTTCTGGTGCAATTTTTATATAAGTGGCCTTAAAAAAAAAGCTCTGTGATGAACTGGTTTATTATAATACATATATGTAAAAAGTTGCCAAGACAAATCTAGAAGGGTCAGATTTCTGTTGGAAATCTAGCATAAGATTTTAAAGGTATTTTAGAAGGGTTAGTGCCTTTAATGTGTTCAGACTTGTGTGTCTATACTTCTAACGTGTTACCCTTCAGAACTGTAGGAAGTCTTTCACATCTGGACAGTATCATTCTTCTGGTTGCACTTAGAATATCATTTTGCCAGGCTGTGGATTGATGGTCAGTCTAGGAAATGCAGTAACTCCTGTCAGTCACGTCACTGCTGTGGTATTTTCACATTTGTCACTACCATTCTGTGGTGTTTTCAGCCCACAGCACTCCCTGTTAATGCAGGCAAGGGACAACAGCATGGTGCTTGGTGGTGGCTTTTTTTAAGTAGGGACTGCTGGTTGTTGGGAGTCTGGGAAAGTAAAATCTAGTTTTCATCTTGGTGTCCTTACGATGACTAAAAGTATTTGAAGTAAGTTTTGAGTTGAAATAAATTTACTTCTTGATACAATGAAATCATGTTGAATGATGAGTTGGGAACTAACGTGCAGCTTTGTTTCTGAAAAGCAAAGACACCGATTCCATTCAAACTGATTATAAAGACAGACTAAACATTTCGCAGCTCTCTGGATAAATGTACAAACTCATTAAGAAATTACAGAGCTAGTAAAGAAAGTTAAATAATGGCCCCTGTGTATACGTTACTGTTGGTCTTGTACTTTTCTTCCAGGTGACGGTACCTTTGCCAGGATCACAAATTTCTTTGCCCAACTTTGGATCCACAGCACAGCCACTTATTGCCCTACCCCAATCTTTACAACCACCACTACAGCACACACCACCACAAGCGCAGGCTCAGAACCTAAGCAGACCTGCACAAGTAACTCAGCCTTTCAGAGGGTTGATCCCAGCAGGAACTCAGCACAGCATGATCGCTGCAACTGGAAAGGTAATAATATTGGTATCTACAGTACAAAAATTAATACAAAGCACAGCTGTATCCTGTTTTATAGAATTGGCGTGGCAACCCATGCTGACCTTGCATCTAAAAATCTGCTTTCACTTTAAAAGGTAGGGGAAGATACAAAAGCCAGTCAAGGTTAGGTCCTTGGTGACTGGGTCTGTGCATTTTGTAAAGGTTTAGGTGAGGTTTTGTAGTTGAGCTAATATTAGTCCATTTGCATTGCAGGAATATCTAGTTTGATAATGACTCTGTATAGGATATTTTATGTAGAAACCATGCAGAAGATAGTACAGAGTCATTATTAGAGCAGCAGGCAAACAACATTACACTGTTAGGGCTAGTTTATGATTCTGATCATGCGTGTATTTATCGCAGTTGGTCTCACAAAGGAGTGAGTTATATGCAATAAAGTCTTTCCAGTGCAATGAATTGGAGTTTCAGGGGCTTCAGTGGACTCTGTATCAGCTGTGACCTTAAACCAGAATTAAACTCTTCTAATGTTGCTGGAGGCCACCTTTCCTAATGTTGCTGGAGGCCACCTTTTCTGAATAGCACAGCAAGGTGCATATTGAGAACACAGCACTGTATGAAAGGCAGGACCTTTGATATGTAAAAGACTGGTTTTGCAGCTGAAGAAAACTTTTTTTTTTAGTGACAGCTCCAGTAAGGAGGTAACACTGAAATAGTGCAAGAAACGAATATCTGGGAGGGAATCCTGTCCTAGCCTTTATCTGGAGCTGCTGTGGTAATTGTTAATGAGGGGATGTATGGAGCTGGCTTCCAGTCAAGGTCTCTTGTCTTAGATGGAATCACAGATTTACAGGCACCTGGGATTTTCGGATAGTGTGCAGCACAACACAGTTGCAGCATGCTTTCAGGTGACGGTGGCAACAGTGGACATGAGCACAGCTAAGTTTTTTGTCAGCTACAGCAAGGTCTTTCACCAGTGCAGGAAATAAACTCTGGAGTTGCAGCTGAAATCCTCGTATCTCGTGGCCTATATTTTAGGGTGCTTTTTAGTATAAGATGACCCTGTTGTTCCGATGGTTTACAGCTGTGATCAGAAAAATTTCTCTCAGTTGTTAATTCCATGTCTTCAGCAGTAATGGAAACCAGAATTCCAGATCACCTAAATGAAGTTTTCATCCTGTCACCCACCAGAGTATATGGAGATATTTGCACCATGCCATTTTCTAGCTTCATAGGATCTGGCCAAATATTGTCACCTCTGTAATTTTTATGAGCCTGTCTAAGCAGCAGCGTGTTTCTTGCTGTGGCTGGAAGACAGTAATTTGTCATTGGAAAACTAACACTTACTTCAACAAGAAATAAGAACTGCAGTGGTATGGTGGCCTTAAGTGACTTCCCTGCCTGTTAGGGTTCCGTCATGTTCTTGCTAAAGAAAGCCAGCTTAAACCAGCCGTTTGTATTTAACTGATTATTGTTGCTGTTGTGCTTCATGGCCATGTGCAGAAAGGTCCCAGAGACTAACTTACTCTGTTGAGTGTACCTGCAAAAATAACATACAAGATTTATTGCTTCAATTAGTCTAGAGGTTTTTTTGCATAAATGACAGCTCCATTTTTTCTGTGCTTTTTATTTTTTTATGAAACTGGATTATTTTATGTCAGTCTTCAGCGTTTTTCAGGATTATATCTAAAAATTTTCATGTGATACCTGAGATGGGGAAGGAAATATCAACCCTGGAGCACTTTTTTAGGGCCAGATAAGTAAGTCACAAATCTGTTTTCATTATGGAGGAAGATCAAGTTAGAAAGTCATTGCCCTTGCTCGAAGTGCCAAATAGTGCAGAAAAATTGTACACAGAGGTGCTTGTGGTGCTGGAGCTGTCTTAGTAATAATAAGCCATTTTACAATCTGGCTTTCACCTCCACTTAAATGACCTATTTTCACGGAGAAAAATGTGAGGTAAGATAACAGTTTCTTAGTAAACATAGTATTTCTTTGAATTAGAATTAACCTGTTGGTTATTTTGTTTTTCAGATATCAGAAATGGACCTGAAGGCCTTTGGAGGTGGCATCGATGTTAAACCTGGAACACCACCAGTTACTGGTAGAAGTACTACTCCAACTTCCAGTCCCTTCCGGTAAATCTCTTAAGCTCAAAATTCCTTGAAATCATAGCTAGAAAATGTACCTAGTCATGCATGAACAGACAATTCTGAAAGGTATGAGGTATGGGGCTACTAATACAAAAATGCAGCACTTAATTTTAGCTTAAAAGCAGCATTCCAGTAGGTCATCAGATATGCTGTAGTTGGCCAAAAGTACATTGCTGTGAAATAAAACACAATGTTTTTTTATTAAGTGACACTAAACCATGCATGTAGAATTACCTGGGGTTGTACTAGGAAAGTATAGGTATGGTAGGGAAGATGTAGTTTGGTATAAAACTAAGACAGTTTATCTTAATTGCACTGCTCAAGGTAAGAACACTTAAAGGCTTACACTGCGGTTGTGGCAACATTTCTGGTAGAGAGCTGAGAATCACTGCAAGATCTGTAGGCCTCTCACAAGTGAAATTAGTAATCTGTTTGCAGGTTCGCTTGGTTAATTGACAGAATTGGTAGAATCTTGCTCATACACAGATGCACTTCAAGGTAGACCTATTGGGCTGCTTGTGGATGAAGTTAGTGGGCTGAAAGAACTTGAAAACAAAACTTCGCTACAAGATAACTCTGTTCTTGAAAACTGTGCTCCTGTGCATAGTAATGATATTTGGTGGGTTTCACTGTAGCAGACTGACAGTGTTCATGCTTTTCTAGTGAGGTGGAAATGAGATTTTTGAACTCGGTGCTGAAGTCATGCTTCCAATACTTTACCTGAGTAAAAAGTGAAGGGATGAGAAGAAGAAACTTGGATTTGCAAGCTTAGTCAGCATTTAAGACGATTGTCTTGATAGTATATGTCTTAGAGATTCTACATAAGATGTCTCTTCTCCTAGCAATCAAAGCAGGGCTTAGCATAAGCTTTGGCTCTGAAGTGTAGAGTACTGGGAAGATCGACAAAAGCATAGTAGATCTCAAGAGCTGGAAAACTAAAGACTTTAAGCTTATAAAATGTTGGTGTGTATTGAGTATGGCTGGCTTTCTTGCCACTGGAGCCCCACTGCTCATTTTACATTACAAGTATCACTCATACACTCTGCAAATAAAAGCTTCATTTCCTAAAGTAGGTTGCTTGATCTTCTTCTCTGAGGGCTGTTCAGTGCCTTTCCCTCAGATAACCTTTTAGGTTTCATTTAATTCACAGTGATTCAGCACCTCTTAAGTTTTAATGGAGGGTCACGTTCTCAGCCAGATGAAATGGGGAGAGTGTTTTCCATGAATTCTTGAAATGTTTCAAGTGCATTTTGAAATGTTAGACAGCAGGTTGGAGCTGTATGTGGCAGCTTCTGCTGTACATGCTTAATGGCTGTTGTGACAAGCTCTGAACTTGACACAATAGAGCAAACATTGTAGAGGGGTAGGAAGGGCAACACTTTTGCCATTAGGGTGTGTTATGAATGCTTTTGGGAAGGGTCTCTTTTGTACACTGGGATCTTTCCATATCCTAGTATGTCTGGTTTTTCTCTTTGCATTCTTAAGTTCTGATTTTGCTTGCATTTTAAATTAATGGTAGATACAGAAGGATATCTAATACCAGCTTCTCCAAGAGACTGTTATTTTTCTCTGTCCAATGCTGAATTTCTAGTTAAGGTGTAACTAAAAGCAAAAACATCTGAATGAGAGCAGTGTGATTCTAACTGGTCTGTTTTTTCTTTAGGGCCAGTTCTACAAGTCCTAACAATCAGTCCAATAAAATGAACAGCATTGTCTACCAGAAGCAGTTTCAGTCAGCAGCTGCTGCTGTGAGAATGACACAGCCGTTCCCTGCACAGTTTGCACCACAGGTAGGTGACTGCTGGCTTACAAACAAATCAATTTCTCTGTATGACCTGGTGACTCTTAACTTGGCTGTGTTCCCTCAGGTTTTATCATAGGGAGATACAAAATTAAATCCTTAAAATGAAATGTCATGATTTCAAGATGAAAGAAAAAAAAACAACAAACAACCCTCTCTGATCTTGCTAACTAGTAGTGCAGGTTTTGTGGTGTGTTTAATTTTGGGAGTTCTTGCACACTGAGGAATTTAATGCAATTTGTGAATCATGTAGAACAGACTGTTGTTCCGCTGGCTTCCCCATGCAGCTGTAATGCTCCTCATCCTGCAAAACCAGATCATTTGGTTGGGGAAGGGGAGCAGCTTTGTGTCTCAGAAGGGTCCCAGTGCGTATTTTAAATGCTTGAAGACAAAGCCGATTTGCAGTTGTTTGTTTGAGATGCATTTCTAAAGTATTGGTGGAGCAGTTGAGGTTGGAAAGGATTTCTGGAGTCCAAACAAAGCAGGGCTGATTACAAAGGATTTAATTTGCTTCTGGCGTTCCAGGGAGCACGGCTTACAAGGGTGGTGCATCCCTGTTACAAGTGACGGTAGCCAGGCTGCTAGGGAAATCCAGCCTCTCAAAAAATGTAGGATATTTCTGTCTGTCTTCAGCATTTGGAGTGTTTGATTGTAGGATTTGAGATTTGATTTTTGGATTGCCACTAGCAGGAACTACCTCGCCTTTCCAGGGCTGCCTTTCACTAGTGAGTCCTCCACTGCCTGGCATGGGTCTTCTCCCTTATTACACACTGGGTGGAAGTTGGTCCTACTTTCAGGTACAGCGGCACTACAGGGCTGTTTTTTTCTGGAGTTCAAACATGGCCTCTCTTAACATAAAAGCCTATTTTCTTGACATGAATGTGACAGGAGAGCAGCACCTTTTTCCCCATTTAAAATAATGCCAACGTGCAATCTAGTTGGCAGTTTTCTAATTGCAAAATGTCTCTTTTTGTTGTTTTTTTCCCCCACTTAGATTCTCTCTCAGCCTAACCTGCTCCCTCCATTGGTAAGAGCCCCATATACTAACACCTTCCCAGCGCCTGTTCAGAGGCTGCCAGTAGTACTGCATAGTCAGATGCCGTCTCAGATGACCACAGGCCTTATGAGCCACCCTCGTTTACCGCGTGTGGCCAGAGGTCTTTGTGGATCAGTATCTGGAGCCAGAGGCAATCAGGCCCAGGCTGCGATGAAGGCTGAACGAGACATGAAGGTTAGTATTTGGACAGCGGTGCTGTTAACACCGGTTCAGTCTTGACAGCTTGTAGGGCAGGAATGTGTCTGCAAATCATGTCATAATTAAAATGCCTCTGGACCCAAAGCTGGTATAGCTGGGCCTCTAATAGCTGAACACAGACCTCCTCTAAGCCCTGGGGTTTTTTTAGTAAGAACTTTAGACTAAAAATAGTGTAGGGAGCTTCCTCTCTCCAGTGGTCTTGTGGTCAGCAGTTGTGAAGCTGCCACTGCTGTCAAAGGCAATCTGACAAATTAGATTTCAAGAGCCTGGATTTTCTGAGTAAGTGATGAAGCCTGCAAACCTTGCTGCTAGCTATCTTTTCACATCTGCCTCCCCAGCTCTGAACACCAGTATTGAACCCCCCTGTTCCAGCCAGCCTCATTACTTGGTGATTCTGGAGATTCAACTCTCAGCGGTTTGAAATGCCTGTGATTACTTGTCTGTGGTAGAATGCAGTAACGTGGTATGCTCCACAGAAGAGGTGGCTGCATTTCACTAGCAGGTGATGAGTTAGAGCACTTTGGGACCCTTCAGGTTGAGGCAAACTCTTCTTACCAAGGCGGTACTGCCATATGGGGTGTCTGTGCAAGGACACCATTGTACACTTCACATGTTTGCTGCAGAATAAGTTGCTTGTACAAACAGATGGTGCTAAGGAGCTTCTTCATCTACTGTCATTTGCCACAACCCATGCATTCAGGTGTAAAAGCAAAGGAATGTGCTTTTTTCCTGGTTATGTCTGCTTGTAGGAGAATCAGTTATCCCAGATAGTTGATTACTCCTTTAATTCTAGGTACTTGGTCCATTTAGTTTTCTACCACCGGTTTATTAGCGGTACACTTAACCAGGTGATGCTTAGTATATTGATGAGTATATTAGAAATTTAATTTAGACAGTCAGCAAATATGACTATACAGTCCTGTTTTCCAAATCTCCCTGAAAACACTGCTCAGAAGAATCTGAGTTATTTTGTCACACTTGGTTACTTGTGATCAGTTCCTCCAGACTTCTAGCCTTCAGGGCATGGCTGAAATGTGTGCAGAAGATTTCAGGTGTCCATCTGCCTCCAGTAAAAGCAGACTGTTGCTGCAGTCCTGCACACCAGAGTTCACATTTTTTCTATTCTGTTGCTGGTTGAGTTACTTGGAGCAGCTGCACAGTATGAAAGCCAAGACCTCTTGTTCCAGGCTTTTGCTTTTTTTGTCCCCCTGTTGCGTGTCATCCCCCCTGCCCTGTTTTCTGTAAAACAGCATAAAATACTTAGAGAGGTATGTGGAAGCTTAGTGACTGTATTGTAGTGGAGGCTCCTTGTATTAAAACACACCTTTTTAATTTTAAAAAGGCATTTGACTGCATTGGACTTAATTGTGCAGCTTCCACGAGATTGACCTCTTACTGCAACTCCTGCTTTTGCTTAAGCGTGGACAGGAAAGCGAAGTGCTTGATCTCTGAAGCCTCTGGTCAGCATAGTGTAAAACCTACAAATAAAACATGTAGTCACAAAGGCTGAATTTCACAGGTGTAAGTCGAGGTTAGTGGCAGGATTCAGAGGAGGAATTTGAAATAAGCCAGGCAGTAGTTTGTGCTACCTGGGATGAATGCCCATTTTGAGTGGGAAGCAGATAAGGCCCCAGCTTACACAGAACACAACCTTGAACCTGGTTCACTTGCATTCCTGTTGTAGACTCTGAAGTCTTGTGTCCAGAGACATGTGCTGGGGGACGAATTTGGGTGCTGAGAGTAGATTCTGCTGGTGCGATACACAGCTCCTGCACTCAAGAAGTCCAGACCACACGGCAGCAGAAATGACAACTGGCATGGCCCTCATGGTAGTGTTGGGGCTTGGGCAGTGTGCAGGCACACATGCCTTCTGGTCATGTCTGACTTCCACTGAGGAGTGAAGCTTTGTTTTGAGCCTGCTGTAGGTAGTACTTACACTTGTTGAACTGTACAATAATAGTGTCATAAAAAGATGTTAGATAATGCTTCAAACTATTGTCCTTGATCCTCTTTTCTGAATTGATGATTAGGAAGAGCAAGGGAAGCTTTGGCATGATGTTAAGCTACTACTGAGGAGCCAAGAGCACAGATGTAGTGACATCTAGGAAGCAGCTGGATGGATGCTGCCTTTCTAGGAAAGTCTTGCCACTGCAGTCAGTCCTTCCTCTTTCATTTAGGAGATACTTTTGTGAAGTCACTCTTATTCCAATGCCCTCTCTTCAGTAAACATATTTTCTCCCTTTCTTAAGGCAAAGCAGAGAGCAGAGGTACTTCAGTCCACCCAGAGATTCTTTTCTGAGCAGCAGCAGCAGCAGCAACAGAGCAAACCCATAGGAGGCAAAGCGCAGAAAGTGGACGAGAATGGGAGCAAACCCACCGAGGCAATTGCTGACTCTTCAGGGGTCTGCCAGGACAAAACTGAGGAAAAGCCCACCCCTCCGCCTGCTACAGCAACAAAACCTGTTAGAACTGGACCAATCAAACCTCAGGCAATCAAAACCGAAGAAACAAAATCTTAGAGGCTGTGTTTTCATGGAGGTGGGGGGAGAGGGGAGGGTGGGTGAGATGGCAGCAGCATGAATTTCTAGCCCAAGGGAAGAGACAATAGTGTTCTCTCCCCCTAGGGCTCTGAACAGTGTAAAGTGGCATAGAAGCCTTCAGCAGTTACAGATGCAAACTGCTGTGTATCCAGCTGAGCTTCTAGGCTCCTTGGGCTTGTGTCTGCTCTAACAGCATGGAGGCTGCTTTTGGCGTGTGCACGTTCTACACGTGTGTACTGGCTTACACACCTGTATGTTTCCCAAAGTGAAAAAAATGGAGCAGTAGTAACAGCGGGGAGGTGGTCAGGGAGGCCTGTTCTGAGCTGACAAGATGAATACTTGTATTTTCTTCAGGCTCTGATCTTCAGCTGCTATTTATCTTTTTATAAACCCATGAATATGAGAACATGCAGATTTGAAGATGGTGCTAGGCCAAGTAATATGTGTTAAGTTTTTAGTGACTTAAGCTTCTATCTTGTAATAAAGAGAGGGATTCATACAGCTGGCAAAATTGCCTTTGCTGTGTGACCTAACATAACACAGAGTAATGCTGATGACGTTGAACTTCCCTCTGAAGGCAGTGCTTTGCTGGCTGCTGCTTCTTGGATGAAAATATATTGCATTTAGATCACCATATGAAAATGCTACTTGGCCACCTGTTCTCTACACCCACTGCCCCCTCGGTTGTTCACCTCTGGAATTGAAAGGTTCATTGCATCAATAGTCAGATTTGTTCTGTTCACCTCTGTCCAGCTATCTTTATATGATGCGAGTGATTTCTAAACGGTTTCCAGTTTATGTCTGTATACAGCAGCGAGCACTTCGAACTGTGCCACGAGAATAAAAGAAACCTTATTGGCTTAAAGAGAGTTTAATCTACAAGGTGCATTCTTTATATCAGAGCTACGTCGCACCACCTCCTTGCCCACAGTGTGCTGGAAAGTAGAATCAAGTCAAATAAATGCCTTTTTAATTGTATCCTCTAGTATTATAGCTGTAGGACAGTACTGTATGATACTTCTGTGAATGTAAGATACCCTGTACCTGCTTATGATATGTAGTAGTGACTGTGCTATACTGGAGCTGTTTTTAATAATGTTATTCTAGAGGTTTTTTTCCAGACAATGATTGAAAAAGCTAATAAAAAGCACCAGGTACCACATCAGTAGCAGAATTTGCTGGTTTTTTTCTGGGATTTTTTGTTTTCCTTGGTTTTTGGTTGGTTTTTTGTTTTTTGGGTTTTTTTACATGTTTTGGAAGGAAGAGGTGAGAGTCTAATGTGTATAATTTTGTTCAAATGACTGCAGAAGCTGGAAAGGCTGTTGCTGCTATCGATGCCTAGTGAATCGCTATTGGTTATCTTTTTATATAAATATATATATAATTTGAATTTTTGGAAACTTTAGCTGTGATGTCAACTTTGGAAAAAAGTATCCCACTTGTAGTGTGAGTTGGCATTGTACAGAAATTAACAGCCATATTGGTCTAGAAATGTTAAACTTAATTTTTTTTTCCATTTGTACAGGGGTAACGCACTGTATGAAATATGTACGGTCTTATTTACATGGGTTTGATTACAGAAACTAATAAAGTATTCTCTAAATAAAGCACCCGGGTAATCTCGTGATTAGCACAGTGCTGCAGGATGCACAGAGAGTGCCTGAACACCGTGTGCCGAGCGAAGAGTGTGCATGACAGCTTGGGAGAACAGACTTCTGAGGAAAACCAGTTTGAAACGGCTTATTTGTGTTTCCCCTGGTGCTTTTGATCTCATTCTGCAGCAAAGGGATGTGGCTTCCATCTAGCTCTGGACGGGACCTGCAGCTTGTGTTTGCAAGATGTTACCTCTGCGGTGTGTTGGTGAGCTGCTGGCTTCCTAGAGAAGAGCCACTCCTCAGAGGAGAGATGAGGATGAGCACAGCTGGCGGCTGACAACAGGCATCATCTGAACCCTCACAGTAAGGGGCAAGAGGTTTCCTGTAGGAGGGAGCCATGATCAGATCCTTCACATGGGTGCAGGAGGCTTCCTTTGGCTGCTGCTCCCAAACTGCTCCCTTCCCAGCTCGCAAGCAATGTACACTCACTACCACATGTTCAAAACATACAGTTACAGATTCAAGCCCTTAAGTGTGGGGCAGGATGAGGGCTGATCAACCTTCAGTCTTTCAGTTGCAGGAGGGAAAGCATCCCAGGTGTCTGCTTTGGTTTGTGGGGTTAGAAGCAGCAGGATGCTGTCAGCTGGACCCCAGAGGGAGCCTGGTACCAAACACCAGAAACACTGTTTGGTCTCTGGGAAGTAATTCCTGCCTTGGGAGAAGATACTAGCTGGTGCTGCATGTCAGCAAAGGAAGGAGAAGGCAGCCAGGGGTGGCTGTGCAAAGCACCGTTGGTTGTGGTGCAGATCACCTTTGCTCAGGGGTGCTGCTGCCAGCCCTGCAGTGGGTGGGAGCATGCAGAGCTGCCTGCACTTGGCTGGGTGGGACCCCAGGTTCAGGGGCTCCAGAGGGGCAGGTGTCCTGCTGAGGCTGGTTCTGTCAAGGGGCAGAACTGCAGCATTATGGAGTAAACAGGGTGATGGGCAGATGCAGCCTCCGAGTAGGTGACCCCACAGGTAAAGCACCTTTTTTGTTTTTACAGGAACTGTACAAGCACAGCTACGTAAGTGCTCAGGGAGATGAAGGATGAAGGGAACTGAGCGATCGTAGACGGTGGTTTGATCTACAGGTGTGCTGCAGAAGAGTAACTGAGATGTTTCCCTGGTTTGAGGCTACCTTTAGCCTGGTTCATGTTGGAAGGACATCCTAAAAATGGGATATCCTCCACCAGATTATTCTGCATTTAAGGAAATGCCACTGAAAGGATTAATCTTAAATTCTCCAGTAAAGCTACTAGCAAAGTCAGGGGAGTTCCCCACAGCCAGTTTTCGGCTGTTTCTTGTGCTGAGCATAACAGGGATAGTATTTTTGCAGAAACTTCATGAAAGGCAAATGATTGGCCATATTCTACATCTGAATAACTCTGTTTTGATGTGGGCCTCTCAAACAGCCGCGAACTCCAGCTGCCTGTAAGGCCAGCTTGAGCTTTTAGTCACTGACCCCCCAGTTCATTGAATATTTTTCTGCCATTTAACTAGATAACTGGCCCCTTGCACTGAGACAGAACTTGCCTTTTTGAGTGGGACTTCTTGTGTAATCTCCTAGAGCTCTGGCCTTCACAGGTAATTGTGCTGAACCCCCCGATAACTTATGGAACTATTTTGTTTGGAGAATTCACCTTTCCCCCCCCCCAATAATATTCAGTCTGTAAAAAGATGATAACTTTTCCGAAGGGCAAGGGTTAAATGTGACTTGGGCCAGAATCCAGCAACCCTGTGGGCCCAGGCTGGCTTCTTGCTGTGGTGCAGGAGGGGGGGAAGCTCTCCGGGCTGTTCTGCAAAGCCTGTTAAGTAGAGCCATGTATTCAGCACTGTTCAGCTCCAGCCCAGCTCTCTGCAAATCCTGTGTACATTGGCTTAGTTAATTAAGCGTTGGACTTCCTAGCCTGAAAAGACCCTGCTGCTAGGAGAGAACAGGATGGTGGGAAGGGCTGGGGCTGTCTGCCCTCGGTGTCTCCACCCACTGTTGTGAGAAGCTGTTGGTGCTGCTGTTCCCCAGGGACCTCTGAACAAGCCCCCCCTTTCATGCTGGGGCTCGACTCTTGCCTCTGGGAAGCTGTGGCGTAAAGTGGGGCTCCAGCCTCTCCTCCCGTCCTGTTCTGGGACAGACCTGTCATTCTGCCATCCTCAGCAGCAGGCTGGCTGTGTGTTGGCTGGGTGGCTGCTTGCCTGGCTGTCCCTGGCTGGGTAGGGTCAGTGCTGTGCCGGCAGGGGCTGCGTGCCTTGCTCTTCCTGGCCCCAGTGGGAACATGACAGCCCCTGCCTTTCCCTGGGTGACCTCTATAGCTGCCTTCCACCGCCAGCGTTACTGCCCTGGGTACCACCCTGCGGCTTGCCTTGTTCCTCTGTAACTGCCTGTTACCGAGTGGGTTTTTGCTGCAGGGCAGAGGGATGCTGCAGGGCTGAGGCTGCTCCCCAGAGCAGGCCTATGCACCCGTGTTTTCCGAGGCCAGGAGAGCCCATAATGCACCAGGAGTTTATTGCAGCAGCTGCGGTCGGTGGCAGTGGGTGCCCTCTCCCCACACCAGGACCAGGGCACCCAGCTCAGCGCAGCCCTGGGTCCTCCTCATGCATTGCCCAGCCGGCTGAGATGGCGGGCGTGGGGCTGCGGTCAGTGGTGGAGGCACGGCTGCCCCCCGACAGGAAGCTGGAGAAGGAGTCACGCTGGGGCATGGTGAGCGGCGTCCCGCAGCCCGTGAGCTCCAGCGTGCAGCGCACAACCCGCTGCGGCGTGTAGGTGATGCAGCTCCAAACGCTCTCCGGTTCCTGGCATGGCACGGGGCCCCTGGCTCTGGAGAACATGGCGTGGCTGATGGCGGCTGGCGGGAGGTGTTGCCGATCCACATGGCTCAAGCACTGCGGCTGAGATGGCACGACTGCTAATGCAGAGCAAATGGAGCAGGAGCGGGCTGCTGGCAGGGCAGCGGGGACTCGCTGGGGCCACCGAGCTGCCCCGTGGCATCTGCGAGGGTGCATCGCTGGCGTGGGACACCTCTGCTTGGTGCTGGCTCGTCGTGAGTGTCCCAGCCCTGCACCAAGCCTGCCAGGGAGCAAGAAAGGGTCGTTCAGCATCTTACCTCCATGTGCTGGGGTCCCACCTGCGGCCCCAGGTTGGTCCCTGTCCTGGTTTCACCCAGTAGCTGGTATGTGGCGTATCAAAGACGGACTCCAGCTCTGGTGAAATCTGAAGATCTTTATTTCGCCTCTCGCATCCCTTTTAGAGTTTCCTAAGTGCTAAGCAGTAACTTTCACACTTTTACTCCCTTATCATCCCCATTTAGCAAAACTGCTAGGGGTTACAAATATTCACACTCTTTGGTCTGTCTTTGAGATGCACATCCTGCTTTATCTTGCAAACCACCTGCTTTGTTTTGCAAACCGATCTTTACCCTTCATTGTTCTCTTTACAGTTCCCAAGGCTTAGGCCCCAGCAGGGCATTAACACCTGGTGTTTTCTTCAGGGTTCCCAATGCTTGAATCTATCAGTGCTATCTATCTATCTATCTATCTATCTATCTATCTATCTATCTATCTATCTATCTATCTATCTATCTATCAATGCTATTTCTATGTGTCACCCACACTGGTATAGTGCAGTGTTTTGGATTTAGTCTGACACTAATGCTGTATTATTATGTTTTAGTTGCTCCTAAGTAGCACTTACCTTGATCAAGGACTTTTCAGTCTCTCATGCTCTGCCAATGAGGTGGTGCACATGGAGCCAGGAGGGAGCAGAGCTGACCCAAACTAGCCAAAGGGGTATTCCATACCACAGGACATCATGCCCAGTATATAAACTGGGGGGGGGGGGGGGGGTGGTGTACCTCTAAGGGACTGATCACTGATGGGTTTGGATGGGTATTGGTCAGCAGCTGGTGAGCAGTTGTATTGTGCATCACTTGCATTTGTTGGTTTGGTGGTGGTTTTTTTTTTCCCTTTTAGTTTTATATTTATTTGTTATTTCCCTTATGGTTATTATCATTAATAATAGTAGTATTTTCTTATACCTTAGTTACTGGACTGTTCTTATCTCAATCCATGGGATTTACATTCCTTCAATTCTCCTCCCCATCCCACCCGGGAAAGGGAGGCATATGAGCGAGCAGCTGTGTGGTTCTGAGTTACCAGCTGGGCTTAAAGCACAACAGTCCCTTTTGGCACTCAACGTGGGGCACGAAGGGTTGAGAAAACGACAGATCTGACCAGAGTGTGGCAGAAAAGCCTTTTATAAGCTTTCACTGTTTTGCATTAATAGTCACTCATCACAATGTTGATTTATTTGCTCTCTGAGTTGTTGCACTTGCTCTTAGAGTCACATTGTGTAACACAGTATGTGTTCCCTGCGGTGATGTTTGTCACCTATGGGGCCTGAGCTAAGGCTCTCACTTTGTTGTACTTTTCAGTAATGGCTTCTGATATGATAGAATTGCTGGTTGTGAAACTGATCTGGTGGTGCCTGTACTGAGCATTGCAGCCGTGTAATGGGAACTATTAACAGTTACATCTTTTGCCTTTCCTTCTCAGAGGACCAGCCTCTGGAGGAGACATTTACCCACACCTTCTCCTCCCACACCAGGCTATTTACAGCAGCATTTGAGATTTTTTAAGATTTTGAGTACCCTTGAAACCAACCTGGTTCTTTTGCCAGGAACCAGTGTGTTGCTGCATATGGTTCAGGTCTTTTTTAAGGTTAAATAACTATCTAAGAATACCACCAAGAGATCTTCCCCGAGGCTGGACACTTATGAGTGGCAGGGTGCGTGGCATAATATAGGCAAGTACCCAGGCGAGCGGGCCCCTCCAGTGCTTTGGAACTTCATCCCTGCACAAGTGTGGAATCTGGAAAAACTAGTAAAACATTTGGGAAAAGTATGCTGTTGTCCTGGCAATACCAGAGAGGCAAAATCACCACAACGTGCTGGGGCCTGTCCCACGCCCACCGAGCCCTGCTCAGCACTATCCAGTACCCTCAAGGAGAAAAGAAGGTCTCCGGATCCGATGACAAAGGAATAGACACCAAAGCTACTCCAGCCTTGACAACAGACACTGCAGCCACTCCAACCCCAGCAGCAGGCACTGCAAATGAAACAAAGGACCAGTCTGTGCTGCTATCAATCACCCCTATATGGAAGAAGTGGACACTAATGTCAGCTTGTGTAGTGAAAGAGGACTCTTCCATTGTGGGGTTCCTGAAGGTCAAAGAACAACAAGTGCCAATCACGACCACAACACTGCACCGGCGGCATATCGCCAACCAAGACTCCCTGATTCCCATCCGTCAGCTGATCGTAGACTGGAGAGCCAAGGAGTGATCAGCAGGACCCGCTTGCCCTTTAATAGCCCCATTATGGCCAGTGCGAAAGTCTAACAGAGAGTGGAGACTAACAGTAGACTATTGTGGCCTGAATGAAGTCACACCACCCTTGAGAGCTGCCGTACCGGACATACTAGAACTTCAGTATGAACTAGAGTCAAAGGCAGCCAAGTGGTATGCCACGATTGATATTGCCAGTGCATTTTTCTCAATCCCTTTGGCAGCAGAGTGCAGGCCACAGTTTGTTTTTACTTGGAGGGGCTTCCAGTACACTTGGAACCGACTGCCCCAGGGGTGGAAACACAGCCCTACCATCTGCCATGGACTGATCCAGAATGCACTGGAACAGGGTCAAGCTCCAGAACACTGATGACATTATTGTAGGGGGAGATGAAAACACCAGAAAAAGTCACACAATGGGACTAATTTCTGGAATAACCTTATAGACGCTTGGGCCAAACAGCACGGCATCGAGTGGGTATATCACATCCCCTACCATGCACGAGCCTCTGGGAACATCGAACTTAAAATGGACCACCCAGAGAAAAGGGTGGTGGGACTTCAAACATTCGGGTACATACACACTTAGCAAAGGCCACCTGGTTGGTCAACACCAGGGGACCTGCCAACAGGGCTGGCCCAGCCCATTCACAACTTTTACACACTGTAGAGAAGGATAAAGTTCCTGTGGTGCACATAAAGAATCTGCTGGGGAAACCAGTCTGGGTTATTCCTGCCTCGGGCAAAGTCAAACTCACTTACGGGACTGCTTTTGCTTCAGGACCTGGGTGCACTTGGTGGGTGATGAGAGGATGGGGAAATTTGGAGTGTACCTCAAGGAGATCAGATTTTGGGTGAGAATGGCCAATGAATTAAACTATGATGCTGTATGATATTGTATAATATATGCTGTATGATGCTGTATAATATTGGATATTGTCTCTTCTGTGGTGGCTATACTCCATGTGGTACTTAGTTGCCAGCAGGGTTTCAAACACAACAGAGACCCCATGGGATGTGTCCCATCCCACCCCCTCCCAGTGGTCTGGCAGGGCCCTTCCCCAGTTCCCCCCACAGGACTCACCAGGGCAGCCCTCACAATGGAGGAGTGTGGGCTGCCTGCAGCTGGCACCTGCTGCCTTCGCCTCCCTGGCACCCCTTTGTCTCCTGCCCTTCTAGAACAGGGTTGGTTCTGAGCTGGGGCCCCTCCCTTTGGTGAGCAGCCAACCCCCCCAGCACTGCCTCAGTGTCCTCATCCCTTCCACCTCACACTGCCCCTGGCACCAGCCACCTGCAGCTCACTAATCTTCCCCATCTGGTAAATCTCTGGGGGTTAGTGCTGAAGCTTTAACTTTTATTCCGAGTCAATGTTGTGGTCATGTCACAACATGCTAAATAAAGGTGCTCTTGGGGTTGGCTGCATCAGCAGCTGCCTCCCAGATGTGGCGTTTTCCTGGCCAAAGCTTTACTGGTTGCCCCCAGCACCTTCAGCTTCTTGGTACATCAATGGGGGTACTGGCCCACCAACCCCCAGGAAAATCCAGGTTTGGAAAGATGAGGTGCAAGGCAGCAGTGGTGGTGAGCATCTATTGGGACAGCACCCTGTGTACCCCCCAGGGATGGGGCCACTGCTGTCCTGTCTGTCCCGAGTGCCTGGGAAGGGGGGAGAAACAGCCTTCTATGAACTTTCTATAATAAATAGAAGAGTGTGGCTTGGCCTGGCATAGGGAGTGGGGCCACAGTGGCCATACTGCATAGGTGCCCAGGCACAGACAATTAACCTGAAGCACATGGCTGAGAGGGGCTGGGCTCACCAAGAGGCTGCTCGGCTGCAGGATGCTCTGCCAGCCTTCCTCACCACTGCTCTCTTGGCTTATTTTGTTTCCCCAGTAAAACAAAGGTTGTGCAGTAAGTGCCCATATTCCCTGCTGCATTTGATCCCGACAGGTAATTTTTGGAGGTGGCTGAGCTCTGGAATGCCCCAGGCATCTGCAGTGTGGGATGCAGCAGGGCTTATGGGCTCTCAGCAGGGGAGCTCCGTTCTGTAGGGCTGCTGGTGGTGGGCAAATGCTGCTCTCCTCTGCAAGGCTGGAATGAACTGGGGAGGCCTCCCCAAAACTGCTGCTTCTGCTGAGGGGCAGCAGTGGTGCTCGTGCTCAGCCAGACCCTGGAAACACAAACCTTGGTCCCACAGAGGGGATTGCTGCTTGCAACCAGGGAAAGCTTTTATTCATAAGGTGGGACCTTCCCAGACAGCCTCTCCCTACCTCCACCACTGCCTTGCCCAGTCTTCACTGTGCCTGAGCCCTCCCTCCTCAGATTCAGGGGGCTTAGCATGGCTGCTCCCAGAGGATGCAGGAGTGGTTCATTCAAAACCCAGAAAGACGCTCCAGTGGCTTGACCAGGTTCTAGAGAAGCACTTAATTTCTCCCCACTGCACTCACACACAGTGGGCTGCCGCCGGAGGTGCCACTGGGGATGTTGGTGGCCCCATCATGCTGTGGCTGAGCAGCGTGTGGCCCCCACCATTGCCTAGGGCTGGCTGAGGAGGCACTCCTGGCCGTGCTGGGGGGAGCTGGGGAGCAAAGCAGGGTGCTGAGGCACATACAGGGGTCAGAGGGGCTGAGCCAACACGGCCCCGGCTCACACCTGGGAGAGGCGGATGGGGTAGGTGACCATGTTGAAGCTGTCCCAGGCAAAGAGCTGCCGCTCGGTGGGGTTGTAGTCCACCATGCTGAGGTACCGGAAGCGGTTCTTGAAGGGGATGCTGAGGGCCCGGCTGGTGCCAGTGGTTGTGTTGTAGGCAAAGTTGATGGTGGCATTGGGCGCTGAGTAGCTGCTGATGGTGTAGAGGGTGCCACAGATGATGAACGAATTGGCCACTCCCCGTTTGCGGATGTTGGTCTCCCAGGTCTGCTGGATCTCCAGTGTCTTGGGGTCCAGCTTGGAGAGGATGATGGCCCCCCGAGCCTTCTCGGTGCTGTAGATCACCCAGAGCCCCGTCTCATCCACGGCCAGATCAATATCGGTGTAGCCCCCCCAAGCATAGGGGTACTGTCCATGGTAGCCGGCACCAGGGATCTCCTTCTCGGCCGTGATGGCCTCTGTCCGCAGGTCGTAGCGGGCCACGGCGTGGGAGTGGCGGGGCTGGAAGAAGAGCCCGCCGCGGTAGATGACAGCGCCGTTGCTCTCCAGGGGCCGCGGCAGGATGTGAACCTTGGTAGGGTAGCCTTGGGCCAGCTGCTCAGCCGCCTCGTACTGGAAGAGCTGGCGCACCTCTGTGCCCACTGTGTCCACGCGCCAGGTGGTCTCCCGCGTGAAGGGGGGCACGGGCTCGGGGTCCTTCATCCACACACCGTACTTGCCAGCGATGGAGTCTGCCTGGCCAAAGACAACAGGCTCCCCAACCCACACCAGCTCACCGCAGCCTGCTCAGGGACAGGAAGGAAGAGAAAGGGGTTATTGCTTGACAGTAGCTGCACCTGGCAAGCCCCTCAGGAGGGCCAGGCAGTGTTTGTTAGCAGTGAAACATGGGGCCAGCCATGCCGGTGGCTGTACCTGAGTCCTCTGTCCCCGGGCGGCCAAGTGCAGTTTCCTCCAGGATCCGGGATGCGGGAACCTCTGTCCTCTCTGACTGCAGCTCCTGGTATGTGAGGGGCTGTGGGTTCCAGCGAGGGGCTGCAGTGGGGCAAGGTGCAATGTGAGCAGGGTCTGAGCCAGCTCCCCTCACCACCACAGCTGTGTGTCGTCTCCCCCCCCCACTTTGGGGGTTTCCATGATGGACTGTTGCCACCCCACAACACCAACATCTCTGTCAGGAGCCCAGTGCCTGCTTCTGCTGCAGTGGAGCACATCTGTGACCTGCTGATGGGGGTGCTGCTCTGCAACCGCTGATGCTGTTGCCCCTCTGGTCTGGAGTGTAATGTTCCTTCAGGGAATCTCCTAAGCCCTCAGATGAGCACAGTCCCCTGCGTTCCCCCCTCTGCTGTAGGGTGGATGGTGGGATGAGTAGGCTCGGGCTGCCAGCCCTGATTTAGGGATGGGAGGGGGTTTGCTGCAATGGGCTGTGACCCCCCCCGCCTGAGCACCTGCCGGGGTCCCCAAGAACGGGGCAGCAGTGGGTGCGCTGCACAGGCGGCAGTGAAGAGGCTCTGCGGAGAGTCGGTGCCAGGGCTCTTCGCAGGGTCTCTGCCCTGACCCTTACCTTTGCCGGGGACACGCAGGGCTTCGCGGTCAGGCTCCTCTCCGCCGGGGGAGCAGCGGGTGGCCCGCAGCCGGGTAATCTCCTGGGCGCTGCTCTCCAGCCGCCTCCTCAGCTCTGCGTTCTCCAGCTCCAGCCGCCCCTTCTCCTCCTCCAGCCGGGACTTGGCCCGAAGCAGCTCGCCATAAGAGTCCTCCAGGCCACCGGACGGGGCTGCTTGCTGGGAGTCCCGTGCTCCTCCCGCCTCAACCCCGCGTGGCCCCGAGCCCCCCGCGCCCCGCTCCCGGCTCTCCAGCCGGCTCAGGCGTGCGGCGAGGGACGCCAGCTCTGCCCGCAGCTCGGGCCCGCCGCCGGCATTGGGGCAGGCGGCCTCGACGGGGCTGGCCACCGTGAAGGAGTAGGTACAACGCCCGGTGCTGTCATCCGCACGCTTTAGAAAGGCTCTCTCGCTCCGGCAGCCCAGTGCCAGGCCCCCCAAGAGCACAAGCCAGGCCCCCAGCATGACCCCGCACTATCAATGCCGTCGATATCTCCGTGCTGACGCCCGCATTTATAGGGCAGGAGGGCGGAGGGGAGAGGGCCAGGGCGGAGGGGGGACGGACGAGCCAGAACCTTCCAGATGCCTGTGGCGGCGGTGGCGGCTTTCGCCCAGCGGCAGCCGGCACCCCCCCGCCCGGACTCCCCGAGGCCGCTGGCCGAACTCTGGCAGCCTGCGGCCGCCGCCAACGCTCTCGCTGCCGGGGCTGTGTGCCAGGGGTGATGCCGAGGGCCGGGGCGGTCGGAACCCCCGGCTGCTGGCAGGGAGGCATAGCACAGGGCTGGGCCAGGCCGGGCCAGCCCCGGGGTCCCGTGCCAGCTCCCGCGGTACCGGGCTGGGGCCGCCCCTCGCCCCGGCACCTCCCGCCGGCTCCCGGCCCCCGGGAGGCCACGCCCCCGGGGAGGCCACGCCCCGGCACAGTCCAGGCTCCGCCCCGACCCTGCTCTCTAGTCGGAAATCGATTGCTCGGCGCTCGGCGCGGTGGGTGGAGCGCCGAGGCGGTCGATGGGACAGCTGACTCGCAGCCGCAGCACCGGCCATTTCCCGCCGGCCTGGCCCGGCCCGGAGTGGAGTCCGGTGAGTGCGGCTGCCGTGGTGGGTTCTTGCGTCCCAACGGGGGTTGGGTTTCTCTGTCTGGGCATTGGCTGTGCTTGCTGGCGGCCCCTGTGGCACCGGCGGGCTGGACCGGAACGGCGGGCCCCGGTGAAAGTGCGGGTGTCGGGCACCGGCTGCCCTTGCATTCCCCCTGCCCTGCGGCTCTTGCATCCTTGTTTTATCTTTCCGCTTTTCCCTCTTCCCCTTCCGGGGACACCGTGCAGGGCTCCCCGGGTGCCCGCCGGGCTCTGTCACTTCCTGCTGGGCCTGGCAAGGAGCGGCCTGGACCGCGCGGTTGAGTCATGGAACAGCGGGGTGACCTGGCCCGTGTCTGCACCTTTTCGGCAGGCTTCTCCTCCCGGGCACGAAGTCGCCTCTCCCGCAGGCAGAGACCATGCCCCCGAAATTCAAGCGGCACCTGAACGACGACGAGGTGACGGGCTCTGTGAAGAGCGAGCGGGTGAGTGCCGGCGCTGTGGGGCGGCCGGTCCTTCCGGTGCTGCTGGCCGTTACGGTCCGGAGCGGTGCCCGGGGTAGGCGCCCACGGAGGGCAGGTGGTTGTTAGCGCACCTTGGGGACCCTAAGGTCCCCGCACTGCCCCGTGCCGTTAGCCGCTGGGTCGGCCGGAGCAAGGTGAGCTGCGGCTCCCTTTGCCGAAGGGGCTGCTCTGTGTCCCGTGGCTACGGGGCCTAGAAGCCCGGGTCGCTGTCGATAATGACATTTAGTTAGTGGGGGCACTGTCCGTGCAGCAAACCTCATCTGTGTGTTTTAAAACAAACCTCACTTGGAGATCCTGTCTTGGGAACCTGATTCAGTTCCTTTAGGCTCTGAGATCCTGGTGTGCCCCAGTTTCCTGCCTCTGCACAGTTAGGCCTGGGCATCACAGCTCTCCCCTGCGTTACTGGCTGAAGGACTCTTGTGAAGTTACCCTGTGCTTTACAGGTCATTATTTTTTTTTCCCTATCACCAAGTTCCCCTGATGTTTCAGGCCTTGAATACAGGTCAGAGTGGTGCAGCTGCCTGTTTTAGACGAAGTGGATTGAACGTGATATGTTTGTTCTAGGGTCATGCTGTGCTAAAACTGCGTTTAGACCATAGTCTTAAATGTTGTTATGGTTCATGACAGCCATCGGCAAGATGAGGATCCTGTGTTGCCAAAGAGCAGTTTGCTCAGCCCTTGAGGGAGGCAGTGGCTGAAACTATTTCGTTGTCTTGCTGTTTGCTTAAGTAGATTAAGCAAATGTGACAAGGCTGGAAATGCAGGTGAGCTTTAAAATAAGAGTACTGTGTTTCAGGTGGGAGCTGCAGTTTATGCACAGAGGAAGCAGCTCTCGATACCATAAAGACAATCCTGTGTGTTCCTAGGCCCACATGCTTAGTGTGCCATTCCCACTCTTGATTTTTTTTTTTTTGACCCTTAAGTAGATGTTCTAGGAGCTCTCTGGCTCGACTGGAGAATTTGTGCTGCCCTGTTA